AAAACCTTTTTATTTTTACCTGTAAATTTAGTCTTATGTTGTTTACAATGTTTGTCAGTAAAATTTATTAAATACTCCATATCTTTTAAACTATGCATTTCGTTGCATTAATGCATAGGACCTTTTTTATTGAAAATTGAATTTTCCATGAAAACTTTTTTAATTTTAACCTGTAAATTTGACCGTTTTGCTGTAAACTTTAGTATTATGTTGTTTACAATATTTGACAGTAAAATTTATTAAATACTCCATATCTTTTTTATACATTTCATTGCATTAATGCATAGAACCTTTTTATTGAAAATTTAATTTTCCATAAAAACCTTTTTTAATTTGTACCTGTAATTTTAACTGTTATGCCGTAAACTTTAGTATTATGTTGTTTACAATATTTGACAGTAAAATTTATTAAATACTCCATATCTTTTATATACATTTCATTGCATTAATGCATAGAACCTTTTTTGTAGAAAATTAAATTTTCCATAAAAAGCTTTTTAATTTTTACCTGTAATTTTAACCGTTTTGCCGTACACTTTAGTATTATGTTATTTACAATATTTGACAGTAAAATTTATTAAATACTCCATATCTTTTATATACATTTCATTGCATTAATGTATAGAACCTTTTTTATTGAAAATTGAATTTTCCATAAAAACCTTTTAAATTTTTACCTGTAAATTTAACCGTTTTACCGTAGAATTTAGTCTTATGTTGTTTACAATATTTGACAGTAAAATTTATTAAATGCTTATAATATCTTTTAAACTATGCTTTTCATTGCATTAATGCATATAACCTTTTTTATTGAAAATTGAATTTTCCTTAAAAACCTTTTTTAATTTGTACCGTAAACTTTATTAAATGCTCTATATCTTTTAAACTATGCATTTCATTGCATTAATGCATATAACCTTTTTTGTAGGAAATTAAATTTTCTATTAAAACCTTTTTAATTTTAACCTGTAAATTTGACCGTTTTGCCATAGAATGTTGTTTATAATATTTGACAGTAGAAACATGAAACTCGTTATTAATTAAGACGGGCCTGCAGTGATTAAGGGCCGTTCACATATATGTAACAATCGTAAAAAAGCATGCGTCTTATAGGAAATTTAGTGTGTGGATAAATTTAGCAACAAAGCAAAAAGCAATTACACGGCGATACACGCAATTTGCCGTATCCGTTTCTCGTACACAAAAGACATCTGTGCGGCAACTACCGCTCCGCAGTAACAGTAACCGCGGGCTCGGGGGCAAGGGGGGCGGCGCAGTTTTCCACGTCTCGTTTGCATAATCAGACGTTGAAATTCACTCCCCGACTAATTTATGGCGCTCGGGGGTGAGTTCGTACAAAGGCCCGGGCTAAATGCGTCGGCGGCCAACGCAGCGAAATTAAAATTTGATTTTCGATGGCGATTATGTTTTTATGGACGTTTATGCGCCTCCCCGCAAGAGATGATGAATTATTTATTTGAATCGTTGTTGTTGTAGTCATCATCATCAGCATCCACTTTGCGGCGCTGTCATCATCCCCCACACACATTTATCTTTTTTGTACGGTTTTCGGGGTTTCCATACTTTTTATTGGGGGATGTAGAAACATGGACAAGGTTTTTTCTTACTTTTTTAACCTCTCTAAAGGTACTCCCAAAGTTTCAGATTTTTTAATTAATTCTGTTTCACATGACCGTCGTATGTATGTCCCTCGAGCAAAACCCAATACTTGCGATCTTCTAAAAATTTAATTCAACTTTAAAGTAGTCAAAGGAAGTGATATTGAACAAATGTTGGGTTTTTTGTGTTATAAAATTGTCTTAAAAAACCATTATTGAAAATGTTTAGGCTAAAAATAATAACTGAACGTTGCCCCGACGTTTTCTTCACATGACCGTAGAAGGACTTTTAGGTCGTCTATTTGCCGCTAGATGGTACTGCATGTGTGAATTAAAATATTTTATTATTGCAAATGGCGACAGTTAATAGGGTAGTTAAATTTTTTCTGACCTATACTTTTTATGGTTTTATTCAAGGCGTCACATTTCTGTGAAATCAGAATTTCAATTGAGTTTTTCCGTTTTCGAGATATTTACAAAAAATATAAATTTTTATGACGTCACAAACCTCGCCATGTGACCAACATTCTAAGATTTCTATTGGTTGAAAATTACCCTGTTGTCAAGTTGTCTTGTTAATGATTTCATTCGGTTATGTCAGAAAATACCCGAAGAGGTTATGTACAAATACTGTCACTGTCAGTTGAGTGAAAGATGGTCACCAAATTCATTAAGTACCCTTATTACGAGGTATCATATTACTGTTTGATATTTTAGAGTCCAAGATATATCTAAAAGAATATAAAGAACTAGGCATTATACTAATGAAATGCATTTACGACAAAATATGATTTTAATTATAGGTACTTACTTTATTTGTTTAAAAGCTCCAATGTTCAATGTAACCAACCATTCCACAAGATTCCTCTGCTTTGGAGTCCGTTATTAATAAATTACTTATCTAATATCAATTACAAATAACATAACAATAACATTGATTTTCAACTTAGAAGATTTTCAATAATCTAAATTTAAAAAAAAAACATAACCCGAAAAAAAGAAACGTCAAAAAATCAATTCTTCTTCTTCTCAACTAAAATTATAGATCAAGTGGTTTTAAAACTAAAATATTATAACGTGGCGCCATCTATCGTAAGAATCTTAACCCTTTCACTGCCGGCAACGCGGCTACCGCGTTCTTGTGTATTTTACAATATGCCGAGCACGCGGGACCCGCGTTCTGTACGGTGGCATATAGCATGGTTTTTGTCGCTGGGTGCCGCCAACGCGTCTACCGCGTTTGTTTATTTGTTTTTTGTGTTAGTATTTTTTCATATAGAACCTTTCAATAAGAAACGAAAGAAACAACTTTAGTCCATTTTTATTTAAAATTTCTAAAAAAAGCTATCGGCACTGCAATATGGGCGGACTTTTACGTCGGCAGTGAACGTGTTAAACTAAACACTGGCAACCATAGAAAAAGCTGGCAACGTTGTCAATAGCCTAGTGACGTAATTAGGAGATTTTTTTTGTAAATATCTCGAAAACGGTAAACTCAATTGAAATTCCGATTTCACAGAAATGTTTAAAATTACAAAACGCCTTGAATAAAACCATAAAAAGTATAGGTCAGAAAAAATTTAACTACCCCATTGTGCAGTTCAGTTAGCGATATATTTACAGTTTCTGTTGTGTATTTTGATATAAAAAAGGTAAGTTAAAGTTCGTACTTTTTGTATTAACATGACCGCCTATAGTGATAAAATATCAACATGTTTTTTTGAGCAAATAAAAATGTTAGATCATAAAAAAGGATGTGACGGTCATGTTAAAAATTTGTTTATTTTGGCATATTTGACCAAGTTTCCTAAAAGAAACAAGTAAGTTGAACTAAATCCGAACATTTTTTTTTCAAAATTAAATCAGAAACTTATAAGATACTGAAAACCACCCATAACTTATAAATGCCCAATTAAAAATACAGAACTTCAGACGGTCTGTCGCAAATGTTCTCTTGTCAAGTCTCGTTAACGGTCCGTCGTGTAAAAGATGTCACACACGCATTATATGTGTGGCGTTTGGTCCCCTGTGAGCCGCACAACACTCTTATATACACACATATCGCCCCATGAATGTTAACTAACCCGAAAAGTGTCAAAGATGCCGCGCTTCCTTCAAACAAGATGTTGCTGACACTTCATTTTTTCCCATTTTACGAGTTTATCACGGAAATGTAGCATGGGACAAAACAAGTTTTCGGTGGAAGAACATTTTTTACATTTCAATATGTTTGCAATGTTTTAAAAGTCTAAAACCTATCCTCCGTGACTGTTACTCTTTCTAGGTTAACCTATATCTGAGTTCATCAAGTAAACTAAACACATCCAAAGCAATCCAATCAAAAATAAAATATTATTAAAAATTAAAGAGAATAATTTTTATAACCATTTATGTAGGTGTTACAAAAATTGATTCTATCCTCATTTTAAATAAGCAAAAACCTCTGTTTACGACATTATAGATGCATGTGATTCCTGAAAGCTAGTTAAAATTTATGTATATGCAGATGAGGGTGTTGCTGTTTTATAATTCAAAAGTTTAAGTTCATTAATTTGCTATTTAAAAACCTATCCACCGTGAAGTGTAATATCTCAGTAAGTAGATTTTTTTTATAAATAATTCATGTATGTACAATTGTATTTTTTAAAAATATTGAGGTGTCAAAAGATACAATAACCTATTTTAAAATACAAAGGGATGTTTTAAAAAAACATACGAAATCCTAACCTCCGTGAAGCTCTAATATTCAAAATGTATGATTTCTTAAAAATCTTGCATTAGTGCAAAAAAAATAAAAAATAATCATTTTTACTTGGGGGACATCTCAATATATTCACCCATTTATTCCTCTCATATAAAAAATTAATTTCTTCCCACAGTGCAAACTTGATTTGTTTTATTTGACTTGCCTCCGTGTTACGCCTATTTGATTTCGATGAATTTTTAATTTAAATTTGGTTGTTTTTCGTGTTTTATTTATCGTTCTCCCGAAATGTGTTCCCTACATTTTAATTTTCGATTGTCTAGCCAAAACTACTTGGTATTTACAACGGCGTGGCGCCTAGACAAAGATTTTTCGAAATTCCGGACAATTTAAATTCAATATAGGAACACATTTTAAAAACAAATTATTTTTATAATCTATAACGAAATCTATCGAAATTTAAATACATTGATTGTCAATTATCGATACCATCGCTAAGTTAATAATTTTACGTAGAGAGATCTTTTGTTAGATCACAAAGATCAAAATAAGCAATTTTCTTCAAATTGTGACCGAACGTAGGCAACCGCATTGTAAACTGGGTTGCATATCTTAAATGTGGAATATAGGCAACTCAAATAACACATACAATGTGACAGTACAAATGTCATAGATTTGGCAAATTAGGCGAATATTTATGATGTTATTAATTCACACCTGACCGCCCAGCATATTTTTATAAAATTATTTACCGATCGACGAACGTACAAAAGCCATAAAAATTAGCATAATGTGACAAAACTCGGCTCGCAAACCCAGAAATTAGGTTAGGTTTTTTTTGGATTCACCAAATGATAAAAATGGAAAAATTATGCGTGCACGGCAATATTTTGAGCGAGGATTTTTTATTGGACGACGAAAATTCGCGTGTGTGCATTAAATGCACAGCTAATGATGTTTTGTGGCCCAATATGGAACAAGATGAGGTAAACAGTAAAACCAATGGCTATCGAAGTGAGATTGACTGTGATCAGAGGTTGCTCAATTCAGACGAACATGGGGACAACTTGGAAGACTCACCATTATTAATAAATGTAAGTAAATTAGCAGTAAAAGAATGTCCAAATTTTATTCTACTATTAGTTAAGAAACCAATATTCCTTGTAATACAGAAAAAATGACAAAACCATACAATTTGTATGAAAATGGAAAAATATTTATTTAGTTTTCTATATTTTTTTCTTAAATATTTGATTAAATATAATATTTTCTCCATATTATCAAAATTCCAAAAACAAGTGATGGTGCAAAACGGTTAAAGACACATTTTTGATTTTGTTTAATAATTATTTTTTATAAAAAATAAGTTCATGTAAAAGGGTCATTTAAGTTTTATTTATTTATAAAAAAGTATGTTTAATGTAATATACCTATTTGTAGATAACAAAAATTGGTCAAAAATATAAAAGTTTAAAATATTCAAGATAATTTTCAATATTTGTTTACTTTAGGTTACAAATTTTTTAATTTTTTTTAAAAATAACTTGAGTTTTTTTACACAAGCTGCCTTGTTTTCATGGCAACCGTTATTAGATGTAGATTATTACAGGGTTGCCGAATTTAAGTGTTTTAATATTTTAATATTTTTTCTACTCCCACCTTTAAAACGCCCTTTATCGTACATGTTTCCCTGACACTAAGTGACCTTTTATATACACATTGACAAGTTGTGGCTTTGTGGCGCTTTAGTCACGGACTGAAGTTAGCAACAGGTTTTTAGTCACGGGCTGAAGTTAGTTTTAAGTTTTAAGACATTTGACAACTCGTCACCTGAGTATTGGTTTGTGCTATCTCCATTTTTTACCATTTTGAGGTTTATGCATTTTCGGAAAGTTAAAGTTGGTTTGTTCCATCTCCATAATAGTATTTTGATATAATTGTGTCAGTTTTTAGTTTAGGTTAGTCTAAATCCGAGTTTAGTATAAAAGGGTTAAAATTGGTTTACTCTATCTCCAAAATTTCGTTTACAGGCTTTCTTTTGCTCTATGTGTTTGTAAAAATATGAAAATAATTAGTATTTGTTTGTGCTACCTATATCCATATGGAAAAAATATTTTATAACTGTTTTGTGCTATCTCCAAGGAAAGCTTCCTTATAAATATAAAATTGTTTTGTTCTATATCCACTTTAGCCAGTACACGTTTTTTCACCTATTTACATGTATATGATAGTATATATGATAGTATTGTATTTTGACAATAATTATAATTATTATTATTAAAGTAAATCATTATTAAATAAAGTGTTTTTTAATTCAGTTTTGTTTTATGTCCTAAAACTTTGTTATATGTCCAACATTTTGTTTCTAAAATCCAAAAATAGCACTTTTTGTTTTATCTCCAAAACGTTTTTTCCAATATTGAGGCATAAATCCAAATTTGAGATAAGAGTTGCTCAATAAAACTAATTAAAGGCTAAACAAGAATATTGTTATTAATGTTTAACCTAAGACAAAGAAAGTCTTGTCTTAGTGTTTAACCCTTAACTAGTCGCGCAGGTGCACTGAGTGCTCCGTTTTTATTAAAACCTCTATAACTTTTTGTCGTTTTCTTGGAATTAAATGCCCTTTCCATGTAACCTATGACTGATGTGTCTACTATGCACTGTCGACGGCATATTTAGTTTAAACTATTGATTTCAAAGTTATGGACAGAAAACTTGAGATTGATTTAGAAATACTTCACTAAAACATAACTAAATTTCAATTTTTGTAATGCAAAATATTTCTAAATCAACAAAATATGGAATTTAAAACATAATGGTTTTTAAGATATACATTAAGAAAACACAATTAAAAAAAGAACGGCTATTTCCTTCTGATTTCTTCTTTTCTGAGTAGAAGTAATAACTTTTGTTATTTGCTTTTTGTTTTATTTTTTAATAAATATTGTGTTTAAGAAATAAAGTTTATTCATCGGAATATAACCAAAAGTAATATTAAATTTGAAAACATGCAGCAATATAGCCATTTTAAGGAGCGGAGCACTCAGTGCACCGCGCGACCACTTATGTTACAAAAATTGGCGCGAGTAGTTAAGGGTTAATTAAGTTTTCATTAAAAAACAAATAAGATATTTAATGTAAAAGTTTCAAACCCGTTTATCTCGATTACATAGAACAAATCAATACTCAGGTGACGAACTGTCAACTAGACAGTTGTCAAATGTCATACAATCGTAAAAATAAAGTGCCTTTCTTGTAAAATAATACTAAATGTGAAAATTATTTTATTATCTCAATACAAAAATACAAAAGTATTAAATAGTTTCTCAACGCCAATATTTGAAAAGTTTATATGAACATTGTACTGACCTTTTAATTTCGCCGGCAGTAAACTATAACCTTAATTCGGACACGGACTCCACTGTAAAGTGCTCATTTAACTGTCAATTTTCAAGAAATACATTTCGATTTATAACCTTTATAATCTGTGTTTATAAAATACAAAAATTTGACATTTGACGGTGACACACAGATTCCCCTATTGTTTCATAGATGGCGCTCCATAATTTTTTTTGATTTAAAACATTTTAAGTTAATAATAATATATTTGTATTTGTATTTGTCGTAGAAAAAGTATACCTAGTATGCACCTCGTTTATAAACTTTTCTATACACCCATAAATTTTAGCACTCGCTCGCAAGCTCGCTCGTGCCTAAATTAAATTCGTGTATAAAATGGCGTTTATCAAACTTGATACATAATATACTGTTAAAAAATTCTGTTGACAATTTTGTTAAAATTTTTTAGCAACCTGTACCTAATTACTTTGCATATTTTAGATTGTTAAAATTCAATATTTGCTAATTTAATTTTAGCCTGTGTTTAGTCATTGCAAAATTACTTACAAAAGTTTGTCATACTTTCACCTTTGAAACATTTATTATTATTAATACCTACCTAGGTATTTAGTTTATTATAAAACTTTCCATGAACAAGATTCAAATGTTAAAAATTCTCGAGTATTTATTATTTTTTTAATTGTTTATCTATCTAGATTGAACTCATTTGTAGTGTTTGTTTTGTTGTAATTATTTTTAAATGTTTTTTTAATGATCCCAATGATTTTGAAGCTAAACCAGTCCGAAAAATATGGAAAATAACCCTAAAATGGCTGTAAGTTACTTTTTGATGTCAAATATTATTTCTAGTTATTTAATTTTATTTAAAATTGATGTTTTACTTTCAAAAATATGCAATTGGGTCATTAAAATGAGTTATTACATAAGGTTTATATTATAACAGCAAACATTAGAAGTGTCATATTCTATAAACAAATACTTTACCCAACATTTTTATTCTAGGACTGCTACCCTGGACCAATTATGGAATATCACTGCCACGACATCATTTCCATTAGAGATGACAGAAAAGCATGGAAAAAAATACTGGCAGCAACATTTCTATGCTTTATATTCATGGTAAGGCACTTTCAAACACGAATTTTTGAGTCATAACAGACGCCATTTTGACAGCGCTGACGTCTGTCAAACAATTGACGCTCTGCGCGGCGTTGCCAGGTTAATTTCGTTTCGTTTTTAGGTGGCCGAAATCGTCGGCGGGTATTTGGCGGGAAGTTTGGCCGTCATGACGGATGCGGCGCATTTGTTTTCCGACTTCGTCGGTTTTAACATTTCGCTGTTGGCGATCTGGGTCGGAAAAAAACCGGCGACGAAACGAATGACGTTCGGGTATCATCGGGCCGAAGTGCTGGGTGCCTTTCTTAGGTTGGTGAATGTGGCAACGCTGGAAACGCATTGAATGCCAAATTTACGTTTTTTTTTGTTTTTTAGCGTTTTGATAGTGTGGATGTTGGCGTTATTTTTCTCGTTTTTGGCGATAAAAAGGCTGATTTCAAAAGAATCCGACATTGATGCCAATACAATGATTATCGTTGCTTCTATAGGACTTCTCATCAATTTACTGTAAGTAAACAATTAGTTAGGCGAAATATTATTATACCGAAAATGGCGTTTTAGAATTATTAAAAATTTAAGTTGGCAACACTATGTTTTTCCAATAAGACATCTGAAAACAGTTGTCATGACAACAAAATAAACAACGCATCTGCTGCGTTGACAGATGTATTTTTTGACAGTTTGTGTAATAAAATTAAACTTTAAGGAGGTTTAGGTCATTTTATTACATTTGATTTAAAAAACAGCCAATTTTCCAACCGATTATTTTGCATTTTAATACTAAATTTACCATGAATTAAGCCTGATTATAGATTGCCTTCCTCCCTTCCTCACGTAAAAGATGAACAATACAAAAATCGTAGTGCTGCTGTTTATAGATTCCCGTACGGAAATCTATAAATGGCACTACGATTTTCGTATTGTTCATCTTTTACGGATAAAAGGAAGCTTTAAAAAACGTAAAAAATTGGATTCAAACGCGACAACATTGCGAGTTGTTGATAGTTGGTTTCTATGGAAACGCTTATCATTTTTGACAGTTGCAGTGATTTCTTTATCAGTGTTATTTTTTTAAATGAGTTCTGAAAACGAACTATTATGTTCTGTAAAACGATTGAAGTCCGCAACTAAGAAAAAACTATTAAAAAAGGTATGGGAACCAAAAATAAAGCAACAGAAAACATGCATTGTGTTGAATGTAGCAAAAGTCCATAGAAGAGCAGAAAACTAGTAAATAATGTCATAAGACGTCATTTTGTCGCACGCGGACAATTTATGGACGAGTGCGACAAAAGGTCTTATGACATGAGTTCTTTATGCTATTTTATCTATTTTTTCAAAAATTCTGTAAAAAAAATTATTTTATACCTTAAATTCATTTGGTCGAATTTTACTTTAGATAGTTGGTATCACAGTGATTGGTTTGACAGTTAATGTCAAAATCGATTCGCCATGCCGTCATTAATTTACTTATTTACATTAAGCGGCTGTTAATGTTAAAGAAGAAAAAATTATTTTCTTTGGTGTTAAACAAAATTTATTGCCAGAAAAGCCTCGTAAGTACTATAAAAATCACATAAATATTATAACCAATATGCAAAATATTATGCTGCACGGTTAATTTTATAGACGATTTCAGAAAAAAAATATATAATCATCGAAAATTGTGTTTTTGGGTTTGTCCGACTCCCAAGTAACAGGAAACATGAAAATTAAAATCCTTCATGTAGGGCATTTTAGATAGTGGCCCAAAAATATGTCAAAAGTTTGTAATTTTTTCTAAACACTAAAAATATTAAATTAAAAAAACTTTTTTTAAGGATAATCTCGAGGATAATAAAGCGTTTAATTTTAAGTTAAAAGCGTCTCAAAAAGTTTTTTGTAGATCCTATAGTTTTGTTCTAAAAAAAATCTTACTTACACTCACAGGCAAAATAATCGATCCACACAAATTTTCGATGAATTTCAATCGCAAATAAATTTTTTATTTGATTTCGGATTTAAACGAATATTAAACAATTTTGTGGATAAATTAATGGAGAATCGCTTACATTTTAAAAAATTACTAAAAATAGACGAACGTTTATAATATACAGCTTTAAACAAAAAGATGTTTTTTACCATAAGTTTAAGACACTCTGTAAAGTGGCAAAACAACATTGCATTTTCCAATATTTTTTTGTTCAAAGAACTAAGGTTGCTATGGTCCACCCATAGCCTATGGAGGATGACAGTGATTGTTTTGTTGAATCATCCCATACTTGGACATTTTTTTGTAAATTAATGTGTTACTTTTGAGGTGTTTTTACTTTTAAAAATGGATATGTCTCCGACTGATGTTTCCAGAGCCATTGCTTTAATCCAGGATGGATGGTCTCAGTATTACCTGGATTGTACTTGGTTTTGGGTCAGTTCAATGTCCCTCAAAAACCAAAATATTTTCCCTCCTTTTCCGCACTCCACTAGCGGACTAGGCGAGAAAATTCTTTAAGAGGCCTTAACCATCGACACTGTCATTTACGGCCTTCTAGGCGAGATTTACCAGCCGGGGTAAAAATTCGGCTCCACCAAACACAGGCAATGCTGTGCAGTGGCGGGATACGTGGGAGAACTAAAAGGGGGTAAAATAACCCTGGGAAATCAGTATAAGGCGTTGGCGATGGGGCCAGTCATACGTTCGTCATATTCGTATTCAACAATAAAATAATAAAAAACTTATGACACTGTTGTCGCCCATGTGCGATATATATATTCGTCTTTAATGTATTAAAGTTTATACATATGGTTTTAGGAAACAAATACCTCAATTTGTTTAAGTATTTTGACGAAGTAGTTTCCAGTTGCTTTGGGAAATCTCTAAGTATATACCTTATATATATAACTTATATAAGTTATGCCGAAAATATTCAACGTTTCGCAGTAGAACTATCTAAAGTCGGAGTACGGTACACAACAAAAATGCATGCCCTAGTTCATCATGTTCCAGAGTTCATTGAAAAATATCAACGACCACTTGCCTTTTTTCTGAACAAGCGTCAGAATAAGTGCATCACTATTTTAACGTTTTCAAAAAATTTTAATTTAAATTCAAGGAATTTGCAATTTTTTAAAGAAAAACTGTTAAGGAGTATTTGTTATTATAATAGCCAGCACATATAATTACATGTATTTATTTGGACATTAAAACCTATTAAGTTAATTGAATATGATTAATATGTATTATTTTGTGAAGTAAAAAAAATTAGAATTTTTTTATTACAAAACTATGGCATCTAAAGAAAACTTTATAAGGCGTTTTTTACTTAAAATTAAACGCTTTATTATCCTCAAAGGAAGTTTTTTTAAAATTTAAAATTTTTAGTTTTTACAAAAAATTTAAAAATTTTGACATATTTTTGGGCCACTATATAGAATGCCATACATGAAGGATTTTATTTCTCATGTTTCCTGTTACTTGGAATTCGGATAAACCCGAAAACAATAGTTTCGATGATTATATATTTTTTTTCTGAAATCGTCTATAAAATTAACCGTGGCTGTTTAAAGTATAGCCAGGGTTGCCAGGTATGGCTAATTTTAGCCAAAGTGGCTACTTTTTAAAGCCAATGGCTAAAAAAATATCAGTTTGGCGTATGGCTATAAAAGTTGGCTATATTTCAAAAGTGTTCGGTGATTTTTTGGCTAATACAGGCAACAACTGCTAATACATGATAGATGCACTGTGTTGTCAACATTTGAGTTTTATTATTTATTAATACGAGTACTTCGTTCAAAACAAATACGCCCGTGTGGTCTAGGTTGCCTGCACGTTTTCGCAGACATACTCATACCTTTTTCTATGGTAGTAGTTCTCTAACCTTTATAATCTGTGGAACTTAGCCATTAATCTCTTCTTTTTTTATGTAGGTATCTAATGAAATGTTTCAAACAAATAAATATAAAATGTTATTAGATCTAAATATAAGTAATGCAGAATCAGATGATTACTTAACAGGAAGTATAAATATTATTGGTGATAATTTTACAGTTCCTTGTATTTCAGAAAATTAGTTTTTTTTATGTAACCTCGCAAGAAAAACTAATTTTCTGAAATACATGTGACTCAAGTCTAATAATTTATGATGTTAATTTATTTTTTCTACTCCCACCTTTAAAACGCCCTTTATAGTACATGTTTCCATGACTCAAGTGACCATACACATTGACAAGTTGTTGCTTTATGGCGCTTTAGTCACGGGCTGATGTTAGTTACATTTTGAACCTTTATAATTGTGTTTATAAAATTAAAAAATTGGACATTTGACGGTGACACACAGGTTTCCCTATTGTTTCATAGATGGCGCGATTTAAATTATTTTAAGATAATAATAAGTATTTGTCGTAAAAAAGTATAGTATGCACCTCGTTTATAAACTTTTCTATACACTCATTAATTTAAGCACTCGCTTGCAAGCAGCTCGTACCTAAATTAAATTCGTGTATAAAATGGCGTTTATCAAACTTGATACATAATATACTCTTATAGAATTTTGATATTTTTGTTTTTAACAGTTGGCTATTTCATGGCTATTTTATTCAGTCTAACTGGCTAAATTGTATTTTACATACCTGGCAACCCTGAGTATAGCCAACCTATAAAATCAAAATTTTGGGTGGGATAAAGTATGTAATTACGGCACCGAAAGCGGTGTTATAATGAACGCAAAATAGAAAAAAGATAAGAAAACCTTGAAAAGGTAGAAGGATAGTCTAATTAGTAAAAATACACAATACAAATGACGAAAATGACAGATTGATAGTTTTGGTTGGACACAGTCAACATTATCGTTTATTATTGCAAAACTGTGCGGTGGAAGTTGACAAAAATTTACTTGGCAAACAATTCATTACTTTTTTAATGTAACATTAGAAGATAATTAGTGACATGGGCTGTATGTATAGGAGATGTATTTATATTCACAACACAGTTTAGCAATAATAAACGATAACATCCCGTGTAGTCTTAGCAACTTTAATAATTTTTTACATCTTTCTAAAACTGTAAATATCTTTTAAGTAGTCTCTACTGCAATCTGCCCAAACCTCCTTATATCATCATACCTTTGTTATTATCAGAGAACAAAAAGTAGCGGCATTTTTTTAGCATGGCAGGGGTGCTGCACGGGGTGTGCCACACGCACAGCCACGGCCTGGCCGCGCACCCGCACTCGCACGACCGATCGCGCGAGCAGAACATCAACGTGCGCGCGGCAACGGCGCACGTTCTGGGCGACACGTTGCAGAGCGTCGGCGTGCTCGTGGCCGCCTTGATCGTGAAATTCCGACCGGGATCGGAGGCGGCCGATCCCGTGTGCACCTTGATCTTTTCCGTCGTGGTCATCCTCACCACCGCTCAAGTGGCCAGAGACAGCGTCCGCTATTTATTGGAGGCGAGCCCGGTCGACACCGGCGAGATGTACGGCAAGTTGAGGGCGATAAGTGAGGTTAGGCACGCGCACGGCCTGCACGTGTGGTCGCTGGCCCCCGGGAAAGACGCTGTTGCCGTTCATTTGGCAGTGGGTAAGTTTTTATGCAAACACAGAACACACATTTTTTAAACATTTATTTAAACTAAAATTCTTTATAAAATCCTTATGAACCTTTTAACTCCAATTCATTGAACACTGTAAAACGACACGGAATTGTTTTCACAGTCTCCAAATCTGTCAAACTTACCTTAAGAATTTTACTGATGAATTTGTGGTTATGTTTTTTCTTTAAATCTGAAGTGCAGCTACGAACGCCATCTATTGAAATTAATCCAAAGTTGCAAAGTTTTCGATTTTTATGGTAAAATTACAAATATTAACCTAAAAAGAGCCATTTCAAGACCTTATCACGACAGCCTTAAATCAAAATTAATATTTTTATTAAAACATTCCTGTGAAGGCCCAGTACAAGAAATGCTATTATACGCTAAAGAAGTATCGCTAGTAGCGCCAAAACTTTTAATAATCAGCTATCAAACGCTTATGTATATGTATAAAAATTATCGGAAAAAAACCGTGGCACGATTTATTGTGTCGTTGGGTGTATTTCGAGAGGAAATCCTGGGTTGAGTTTTTACCGGTTTTCCAATAATAATCTGAATGAAGAAATAAATTGCATACAGTCTCTGTAAATATAAATCGTACCTATTAGATACAATAAATACACATTTTAGTAGTGATTAACGTGAGAAGTGTAAACATTTCAATTCAGTAAAAATCGTCAAACAAATAAGTCGTCTAAATTTAAACAGCATTTAGCATTATTAAAAGCGTTGATTAAGAAAGTCTCCACTCAACGGTAAAATACCATTATATTATGTACCTATTATATATAATATTATGTTGCCATGAATTTGTAGGTATATTTTGTTGTTTAAAATGCAGTTGTTGGCGTTTTTTAGAGAACTAAAACATAAAAATGGTTGATTTTAAGGTTATGTTTGTGCAAAAATTATTTTTTACTAATTTCTTTAAAATGTCCAAACTTAAATATAAATTATATTAGGTAAAGTTATCATTAGTTAATTCTGCACCAACAAATGTACTTACCGAATTGGATCCTTTGGCAAAACATGAAAATGCAACGATTTAGTTCTTGAATTTTATTTACAATTATAAGCACAATAATTCACCATGATCCCTTAGATAAAATATACACACTAACGTAAATATATAAGCATTTGAGCGTTGAGTTTCTTAATCAATGATATAAGGAATAATCAATCAAAATCGAGTAGGTACTGAAAAAGTTTTTTAATTTTTTCCATGCATCGTAAAACATAAAGAACGTGAGCTATTTATTTAAAAATGATGTATATATATATATATATATAGATTATAATCTGTGCTTTAAATGTATTGTTGACAATGCATTCGAAGTCCACCAGATGGCGCGCGCGTTGCGAAAACCCGATACTTCTTTAGCGCATTTGGTGAATTCCGGCCATGAAACTATGTAATCAGAGTCTGATTATCAGACTTGTGTATTATTAATAATTATCTATTTTCAGATCCGTTCTGTGATAAAGATGTGGTTTTAGAGAAAGCCTCAACAATTTTGAAAAGCCAAATCAGCATTACAAGTTGTACAATACAAATTGAAACTTACAATGCAGATATAATAAATAGATGCTCTAATTGTAGCGCCATCAATTTTTGACATATCATTTTTTATTTAAATAAAATTTATCAATAAGTCAAGACAATATTTAAATAATTACAAGGTGCCCAAATAATAGAATTTTATGCAATAGACTGACCTTAAAAAAATTATTTTAGTTCCTTTTTTAGTTCAATTAATAATAGATCTCAATTAATAAAGTTATTTCTTAGGTACATTAAATCAATATAGGGTGTTATGTAATTAATGTAATTTATTAAAATGGAGCAAATTCTAAAAATAATTTATAATAACCTTTATCCTACCAAAAAGTACGCCACTGATCGACCAGGAACTTTGGGCGAATCTGGTTGCCTAATTTAATTTATTATGGTTGGTAACAAGTAAATTAATTATTAGAGCTTTAAAGGCATAAAACTTTTGTATTTATTTATTTTTTGCAATAACAATTTTTAGTAGTATACATTCCATAAAGGTATTTTAATATATTACATTAATTACAAAACACCCTGTATAAAGAAGCACAATTTTATTATTAGGTATGTATAATTTTGTAGACGGGATTTTTGTGGATAAAAGAGACAAATTATAATTATATAGGTAATATATTTAAAAATTTGTTTGTGATAATTATACAATACTGAAAACGTAATAAAATATAAATTATTAAAATTGTTTCATTTAAAAGTCCCATTCGCATGTGTATATCTCCATCTGGGATAACCGATTAATGGTATCTAAATTTGTCACATCATCTGAAAAAAAAAACACAAATGACATTTACATAACCTCAATATGCAATTTTGACAGTTCGCATAACCTCAAATTATACCTCACCTTTATTGTAAGCTACTCTGTCGCTCATGGGCAGGGCCGGTTTAAGTAGATCCGGCAAGGGCATGGATTTTTTGTGAGATTTAAATAAGGGGTGTGTCAAAAGTTGCTCGGCTGTGGGTCTGTAGTAAGCGTCCCTTTGCATGCAAAGTTCTGCCACCGAGTGCAAGTCTTCGCTAAATTTACGGTTTTCTATGCTCTTTGAGTCACAGTCTCCTAAAATTTTCAAATTATGTTTTTGTTTTTTTCCTCATGTTTTTTTACCGGAACTTTCTAATGCCAAGCCTCGGGGGAAGGTTACACAGTCCAAGAGTTGTGGGGCACATCCCCGTACCTTTTCAGTAAGCATTAAGGTTGTTGTTGTTCCAGCGAATGGTTCCTGCCCATTGGCTAGCTCACACATTGTTATACCCACACTGTAAATGTCGGATTTTTCATTGTACCCTATAATATTTTTATAGTTAAAACCACCAAAATATATTTTTTGATAAACGTCAAAATTTGACGTTGATCAATAACCCGATCAAAATTTCTTGTCGCGGCGAATTCGCCCAGATTTCAAAATGCCAAAATTTATTTTATAGGTTATTCATTAACGTCAAATTTTGACGTTTAGTGAAAAAACTCTTATAATTTTAAAAATTAGCAGATTCCAAGTGCTGAATTAAAAAATATACCGAAAAAAACGTGAATATTTTTAAAAAACATTTTACCTAGTAAGTTTTGTTCTAGTAACTCAGGACTCAACCAGTTGAGATTCCCTGCTGTACTAGCAGGAAAAGAGTGTATACTCTTCTGCCATTTTCCATTCACAACCATCGGGCAAGCATACCTTAAACCTGTCAAACAAGCTTTCCCTGTAGCCGATATTAAAATATGGCTGGCTTTTATAGCCCTAAAAGCAACATATTTATGCTACAAACAGTATTCAAATATGCATATTAACCTGTGTATAAACCCTTTTTTGTGTATATAATCTAAAGCATCTAAAACATCTCTTAAAATAAGTATTATGGCATTCTCTGGTAAACCTACAAAAAAAACAATACATCTAAAAAAATAATAATTAAATTAACCTTACCATCATTAAAATATCTACTAAGTAAGTCCCTGCAAGAACCAAATGCCATTAAAGAACTAATAACCCAAACGGAGGGGCCATTTACGAATGCCAAGTGATATGATATTATACGTGGATGTTGTAACTGTCTTGTCAAAATTATTTCTCTCTAAAAGTGTACAATTATTAATAGATAAGGTGTTAATATGGAGTTTTACTTCTACTAATTGAGCCTCTTCCTTGATTTTGTCCATATCAAACTTTTTAATTGCCAGCATTTCATTTGTAGGCAAATATTTCGCCAGATGCACCTCAGCTTTGCCATCAAATCCTTGACCTAGCAGCGATATTATTTTGTAGGAAGAAGTTTTTGCCTCATATTTAGCCATTTTTATACTTATTTATCAAATACTTAATTTTGCTTACATAATTTTTGTAAATTACTCCATTTTTATATATTTTTAACGTTATTATTATAAAATTCAGCAGTTTGAATATCTGACAATTTTCATTTTGAAGTTTATAGGTTAGACTAACTTTTTAGAGGTTAGGATTTTTTGATAGACGTCAAATAAAAGTAACAAAATTAATTTATTTACGTAATAATAAATATTTACAACGATAATCTATAAAAAATTACAATTCTTCGTTATTTTTCGGGCAAAGATTCGTTAAACTAACACAGACTTCGTTCTCAATGTTTTGGTGTTCCTGTTTATACAACTGAATTATTTCTTCTTCATGCTCTTCTACAAGCACTTCACACTAAAAAAAATTATATAATGAAGTATAACATCGTAATAAACCATTAAATTAATTACATTATACTTTAAACTTTTATTTAAGTCATCATCTTGCACGATATCAACTTCAGACATTTTAGGATTCATTTTGCCATCATTCGTCATTAACTTGAACAAAAGTAATTCTTCGGTGGTTTTGTCGAAAGCCCTGACATAATCATCCATTTTTTCACACACTTGTTCAACTAACTCGGATAATTTTAACTCGGATTTTTTCTGCGAAATAGTTTTGTGTTTGAAATTTCCCTCACCATCCAATCTGTACCCCCCAACATCAACTTTTTTCGAGGGGTCCAAAGCGTTCACAGCGTTGCTTAACTCCTCCACAGTTTGTTTGCAAACTAAAAATTACACAAAATAAATATTTTATTATTGCGCTAGATTATTCCGCTTACCTAAACATTTTAATTCTTGGACGTTAATCTTCTGACCTATTGTTGAATAAGCTTGCAAAATAAAAAATAAAACGATTATTTTCATGGTGTTTACTCGGTATACCAAGTTTGCAGTTTGGCTGCGTTGGAAAAATTATGAATTTTGATATTTTTCTTGTTGACACGTATTCGGGTTATGATTGGACGACGCGAACAACCTTGAAATGCCTCGGCCAATTAAAAACCTTTACCTATTTCGATAGGTTTTTAAATTTCGAAGGGTTTCTAACCAAATAAATTATATTATTCGTTTTATTAGTTTTATTTTAATTAAAATTTCTCTTTTTATAAAGTACTACTTATAATTTTAATAACGATTAAATGGTTAAAATAAAAATGTAATTGTAATAATAAAATGCTTTTTAAAACAGATTGACCTGGTTTAAAATCGTTAAAAGAAATAATCAATTGTTTACAAGTAGGTAATCGTAGAAAAAAGATTAGTATTTTGGTAAACACGTCGGAACAATAAAATTCCCGCGATTTTTTAAATAATTGCGGCGTTCGTGAGCGTTCGGCAGTGGTTCGGTTTGTTTCGGCGGGAGTGGACGAGTCCATTGTGGAAAAGGTGGCGTCGGTGGCGTTGTCAAAGATGGAATTCGGCAATAATCAGCAAAAAGCGGTTGATTGTTGAAGGAAAAGGCCGCACGATTGTCAAAGAGTTGATTGTTGCTGAAGAGGTGCAGTTTAAAGTGTTGAATTTCAAATGTTGCGAATGTTGTTGGGCGAAGCGGGTCGATCCATCGCGAATGAACTCGTCCAAACAAGCTTGTGAGATTTTGAAGCAGGCAGTCGCAAATCGGTCATCGTTCTGGGAGGTTCTTAACAGAATGTGTCAGAATTTTCTCTTGATGAACTTATGTGTAAAATTGGTTTTTCCTTTTGAAAATCGCGCACCGAGCTCGAGTTACTGCGTACTGCTGTTTGAATTGTTAAAGTTTGCCAAATTATCCTCCAAAGAGGCTTCTATGAGGTGAGTGACATATTTTTAACTTCTTTATTTGTTGCCAGTTTATAAGTGCGTTATAAATGCTTCTCTATCGTATATCACGAGCAATTCGTCGAATTCAAACGTTTTCGGCTCATTGTTTATTTAGAAACCCGTAGTTTATAAATAAAATATGTAGTCCAAAATTAGCAATTGTTGTTTCCAAGTGGGAGGTGATGCATATGATATAAGCCCTATGGGTTAAATTTAATTTTACAAGTGTTAAAACGGTCCCAAAGCAAATTTCGTGTTTGTTGTCGGCGACGTTGCGGACACTTGACCTGGCAACCGCGGAAAGCGTGTTATAAAAGATAGAAGGCAGCATGATTCGTAATAAATTTTAATTGGCGATATTTGTGCACAGTTCAGCCCGGCGTGCATTCGCATCTTATTTCCTCGATATTGCCGCGAAAAAACCCATTTCGTGTCGGGCGAGATAAGTTGGTGTAACATTTTGTATTTGTTTACTGACAAAGGCGCCGCGCGCGAATCTCGCCTCTATTGGCGTACGCCTGGCAATAGCGCTTGGTACGTCCGGTTCCCTGCCCCCTTCCACTCGCCTATCGATTCCGCGGCCGCCCAATCGCGAGCTCTCTCTGCTCGCGGGAGCGATCTTAACCGGCAGCGTTGCCACGCCGCTCCCAAGCCCCATTCTCTCGCCGCGAGGAATGCGTTCTCGACTCGCCGAAAGCGCATCGGCAACCGCGCGCTGATATTAGAGGGCACGCGGCGTTGCCGCATCCCGCACCATCGCTACAACAAATAGATCCTATTGTACGCCAAGGCGAGCGTAGTTTTTCAACGCGATGTCTAAATTCTCGTGCTGCGGCGACGACGAAAAAATCCAACGGCCAAAAAACCGTCTCAACCTCGTCGGGTTCTATCATTTCACGGGAACCTGATAGCAGATGTAAGTTTTTCAGCTTTTACCCGCCCAAATCGTCTCTATCAACAAACACATGGGTTGTATAAGCGGAAAATATTATTATAGTCGGTCAGTTGTTCTATGCCAAGTTTGGGCTTTCTAAAGTGCGTTCTTTTTATAAACTTGTTCAAGGTCACCCGTGAAAGCTGACTGTCGTACGTTTTTTCGCGTTGTTTGGACCTTTTAAAATGGACGCTTTTTTCTATCGCATCATAATCTACACAAAAGACTCTCCTAGGATTGAAATGCAGCATTGTGTTGCGCAACCGAGATAATATTAGGGTTTACCGCCAATAAGGTTGGCGGTGCGCGCGCCGCCTCTATATTTGTGTATATACAAGATTGTTGTAACTTTTTCCATACGGCATAAGCAATAATGTATCTCTGTTATCGTTGGAGAATTTGTACACAATTCACTCTTGAATTTTCTGTAGGCAGCACATCGGTAATTACAGCCGAGTTCAATTATAAGTAGGCATTTGAATTCGAGTGAAAGAGTCCACATGCGAGCTAAAACAGCAGACTCTCTCTCTAAAAACGCTTACCGGTTTTGTTTATGCCAGAAATAAATAAGTGGGCGTGCCTTTCGACGATCAGCTGAACTGTACAGTTCAACATGGCAGTTTGTCGCGTAATTCAAAACGTACAACGTATGTCAGACGGTTTTTCTTCAAACGCCAGTTTCATAACCAGTTTCAGCCCGAGATGGACTTTCCTCGCCGTTTCCCGTGCCTTTTCGCCCATCTGCATCCGACAATGCGAGTGAGTTGATTATCCCCTTTAGAATTTAAAAGCCGGAAAATTTTTCATTGCCAAAATTTGACGCATTTTGACAGCGTCAAAAAAATGCATTTTCGCCTTTTAAAACCGTTTACAATTAATTAATTTGGGTTTTTGTGCCGCTTTATTGAAATTCTTAAAATTCTATTCGTTATATTGATTAATGTGTACACTTAAATTTGCAGATAAAGTTATGTCATTTGGTAAAGTACAATAACAAATTACCTTGGCGTATTTTACGAAAAAATAAAAAATAATTAGTTTTACTGGCGTATTTTTGCTACGTTCATGAGATAATCCCAAAAAAATTCCACATTTTCATTAGGCATTTATATATTAAGCATTTTGACGTTTAAAAATACCCGGTGTTAATAAATATTGCATATTACAGATAACTGTATTGATGATATAACGTGGAGAGATTAACTAAAAAAGGGGACCATAATATTTGTTTTTATCTAGACTTTGTTATCGCACATTTTACTTTCCGTAAACAAAACTAATTTTTGGACAAGCATTATCCCACCTACTCAAGAAAACACTTCGCGTTTATTGTTTATCAAATTTTAATTTTCGTTAAGGCTTATTGTTTTAATGCGTCAATAAAACACTTACCTCCGTCATAATAAAATTACCGTTTTAAAATGTAATAAGTATCCCAAAAATTAAAATGCATCGTGGTTTGGCAGGTAGTTTTTAAAAAGTCTGCGGTTTTTCTGCGTTTAAAATCCTTTGTTTATTCCTTATTAAGAATTAATAATAGGATTATCGGGAAATGAGTCACAAGAGATCCTATAGGTATAAATATACCAAGTCCTTCCACTATATTACAAACTTTAATAACAAAAAACTGGGCAAAATGGGCCCCCTGGAATTTTTGTTATGGGTTTTGGTTAAAAAGAATGCCTGTATAAATTTCACCTTAACAAATTTTTTTAGAAATTATATCAAAAACTTAAATTTTTTTAAAAATCTCTATACCTTTAACTTCAAAAATTTACATAAATCATCAAAATGTATAGCATGAATCACTAAAAATTTTAATTTGTTTTAGAAATTCCCAAGTTTTAAAAACTCTTCAATATCTTTAAAAATATTTATGCACGATGACATTATAATATGACAATTATAACAAAAATTCTTTGACGTAAACGTCTTTTTATAGCCCGCGGGCGTTATTATGGCCCAGCGGGCTATAATGAAACGTCAAAAATTAAAAACAACAATGTTACACCATTTGATATATTCGAAGTAAGTTTTTTCGTATAAAGATTTTGATATTACCGGCAGCAGGCCTCAATTTTTCGCCTTTTCAGCTGCTTCCTCAATTTCATTTATCTTTAAACTTTAAAACTGACTGATGTCAGTTGACATTATAATATGACAATTATAACAAAAATTCTTTGACGTAAACGTCTTTAAAAACAATAATATATTAAAAATAATATTATATTAATCGTGCATAAAGTTTTGTATGCATTGCTGGCATAACTGGTTTTTATGGTCCTACGACGCTTTTCTAGCCCTCGCGCTAACGCGCTCGGGCTCGAAATAGTGCCTCGGACCATAAAAACCTTATTATGCCCTTAATACATAAATAACTATTATCTATTTTGCGTTCATAATGACTTCAATATAACATATTTATCCCACCCAAAATTTTGATTTTATAGGTTAATATTTTGCATATTGGTTATAATATTTTTATGATTTTTCTAGTACTTACGAGACTTTTCTGGCAATAAATTTTATTTAACACCAAAGAAAATCCTTTTTTTCTTCTTTAACATTAACAGCCGCTTATTGTAATTAAGTAAATAAAGGACGGCATGGCGAATCGATTTTGACATTAACTGTCAAACCAATGACTGTGATACCAACTAGGTATTTAAAGTAAAATTCGACCAAATTAAAGATATAAAATTAATTTTTTTATAGAATGTTTGCAAAATAGATAAAATAAAATATAGAACCCATGTCATAAGACGTTTTGTCGCACTCGTCCATTACAAAACTATAAATTGTCTGCGTGCGACAAAATGACGTCTTATGAGATAAGAAGAAACTTCAAAAAATTATATAAATCATGAAAATACATAAACAAATTAATGAAAAATCTTCATAAATCACTGGAAATTTTAAATTTTTTTAGAAGTTCTTAAAAATTTTGAATACCATTTAATTTATTTAGAAATCATTATAACTTAAATAAGTAAAAAATTTACATTAACCATCAATATTTTTAATAATTTCTGAGAAATCTTCAAAATTTATTTAAAAATTTTAAAGTATTCAGAAATCTTAAAAAATATTTCCTTAAAAATGTACAAAAATCATTAGAAATGTTAAAAAATTTCCTTAAAAATCTTGAAAACTTTTATTTGCATAAATAATCAAAATATTTTCAAAAACATGTAAAAGTCATTGGAAATTCCTGGAATTTTTTTTAAAAGTTTCTTAATATCTTGGAAAGTCTTTATTATTTTTTGAAATTCTTTTAAATCTTCAAAAAATTTACATAAACCATTAATATAATAATATATTATAATAATTCCTGAGACATCTTCAAGATATATTAGAAAATTTTTAAAACTCCTTATAAATTTTAATAAATGTACAGAAATCTTCAAAAATTTGTGAAATCTTTAAACTTTAAAAATTTTCAAAAATTTACAAAAATCTTAAAAGTTTTTATAATTCCTTAGAAATCTTTAAAATATATGTATTAGGAAATTTGGTAAGAAATATTAAAATTCCTGGGAACCCTTTAAACTCGTACAGAAATCATAAAAAATCTTTGCAATGTGTCGCAGACAAATTTTGTGTCGAAAAGTTTGTTATTTATATAAGGCATTTTGTGTAGTCGGCCATTTCAAGCGGATGGACGGGGAAAAATACCCAAAACTGTTTTTATAAAAAAAATTGTAGGTAATTTATTATATATTATTTTTCCATAAAAATTGTCAAATATATTCTTCTATTATTAGGCTATTCGTTAAATCGCAAGTAATATTTTATAAAAGTATAGATAATTTTAATAATTGACAGGGGTGGACGGGACAAGATAAATCTTTTTTTTGTCCCGTCCACCCCTTTCAATTATTAAAATTATATCTACTTTCATAAAATATTTCTTGCGTTTTTTTTAATTTAATGTATAACCTAATAAAAGAAGAATATTTTTGACAATTTTGATGCCAAAATATTATATAATAAATAATCTACAATTTTTTTTATAAAAACAGTTTTGTAATTCGTGCGTTCGCGCGCTTGAAATGGCCGTAGTGGCAACTTTCTAAATTACAGTGCCATAATAAAACGTTTTTTTGGGTACAATTTAAATTTTTTTCTCTACATTTTTTGTCCTAAAACTTATTATTTTCTCATGTGGTTTTTGGAAATTATTTAATGTACTCTCTAAAAATGAAATAGTCAAAATTCTACTATTTGAATTAGTACCAGCATTTTTTACTAATAAAATAGTCGTTTTCACTTTTAAATAGTTATTTTTTACTACGTAAATAGTTAAAGTCTGACTAATTTAAGATTAGTCACCATATTTGACTATTTCTGACAGTTAAAAGTAACTAATTTCTTTAATCGTTTACGGCCAACAACAAAGTATTATTTGAATAAAATGCATATACTTACCTCTCCATGGTTAAATGACCCATAAAACAAATAAAGATGCAAAAAGTTTAGCTCAAAACAGTAACACAAATAATATATTAAACTTTAAAATATTATGAACAATATTTATTGACAAATAAAATTTATTTTTATAAGGGCGGCTGACAGCCGACTGGTTATGAGGTTAGGTTGACAAGCTTCTCAAGTGACAGACGTGAGTTCAATCCCAGGCTGGGTCAAAACTTTTTTTAAATTTAAATTTACTAATTTAACTATTTCATTCAGTGGAATTTGACTAATTATTAGTGACTGCTTTTTCGCTATGACAATTAGTCAAATATGACTTATAATTAGTTATTTTTGACTAATTCATTTTAAGAGAGTATAGAATATACAAATACTGTACTTGCAAGAAAAGGATCAGAAAAAATTGAATAAATTGTGTTGCAGTCGCTTCGATGTAATTTGAAATGAAACGGACGCGCGTGGATGAGACGGTAAAGGAAGGAAGCGGACCGCCCCCCATCACCACCGGTACGTTATACGGCCAACAGTTGCAGAACGCCAGCGCATCGCTGGCGGCGTACACCGGCTGCGTCCAGCCCGCCAAAGTGGAAGGCAACATGCAGTCGCGACTCCTGCCGCCCGCGGCCCCCGTCAGCTACGGCGCGATGCCCGCCGCGGCAAGCGCCGCCCCACCGCACTCGCAGCTGCGAACCGCGCAACCCCCCATGGAGTCCCCCATGCAGCAGCAGCAGAGTCAGTCCCCCAATTTCCAGAGGCTCAAAGTCGAAGACGCCCTTTCCTACTTGGATTTGGTGAAGTACAAGTTCGGCTCGAAGCCGCAGGTGTACAACGATTTTCTGGACATTATGAAGGAGTTTAAGAGTCAGAGCATAGACACCCCGGGCGTTATTCAGCGGGTCTCGAATTTGTTCAAGGGATTCCCCGATTTGATCGTGGGGTTCAACACGTTTCTGCCGCCAGGGTACAAGATAGAAGTGCAACGCATCGATCAGGGGTACGCGTTTCAGGTTAGCGTTAGCGTGCCGAGCCCTACAGGCACTACCAACTCGGACCAGCACAAGTCCTCGATGATTTTGACGGGGACGGGCACGATAAACAACAGCGGTGGAGGGCAAAACCCGCTGCCTTTAGCCACGCAGCAACAACAGCAAGCACAGCAGCACGTGGCGGTGGCGCCGCAAGCGCCCGCCGCGCCGCCGCCCGCGCCCCACCACGCGCCGTCGAGTTACGGCAGCGGCGCGCCCGCCGCCACCTACGGCTCGCTGTCGCTGTCGGCGGCGCAGGCGGCGGTCAACCACGCGCTGCAGGGCCACACGGACACGCCGCAGAATCAGCCGGTCGAGTTCGACCACGCCATCAACTATGTCAACAAGATTAAGGTGAGTTTTGTTTGTTTAACGCAGCGACATGGAATTTCTTCGTTTTTTTATTTTTATTTTACAATTTTTCTATCTATCTACACTCGTCAGTGATGGTAACCTTTTTAAACACCATACGCTAAAGAAGCATCGCTAGTAGCGCCACCACTCGGCCATTATCACCGTAACAAAACTCGAATATTAAAACAAAAAAGTTTTAACTTTTAAGATTATCAAAAATTCCAAAAATAATCATACCTATTCAAATTTAAAATAATAATTTTCTTCGCCATATATTAAATATTATCCAGGGTGTAAGTAGATTTTGCTTTAGAGGTGAAACTTTACCGTATCAAGCAAAAAATTTTCAAGAGTTTTTTACCAATTTTTTTTGGATTTTGAGTGAACCTTTTTGACGTCTTATCAAAAATTCCAAAAATAATTATATTCGAATTTAAAATAATTATTTTCTTCGCCATATATTAAATATTATCCAGAGTGTAAGTAGATTTTGCTTTAGAGGTGAAACTTTACCGTATCAAGCAAAAAATTTTCAAAAGTTTTTTACCAATTTTTTTTTTCGATTTTTGAGTGAACCTTTTTGACAATTTTATTAATTTTCATAACTGTTGAGCGACCATTAATTTTTGTTTAATAAATTGAGCTTTAAAAGCAAGATAAACTAATATTATTTCATAGGAGACTCGAAAAAATTCGGTTTTTTTTGCGGAGAAAAATTTATTGCCAAGAGATTTAATAATAAATAACTTTTTATAATAATTATTATTATTATTATCTGTTAAATAAGCAGATACAATATTAAGTAGATAGAGCAGATATTTAAAAATTCGATTATTTGAATATTCGAATAATTCGAGTACATTATTAAAATCGTTGATTAAGAAAGTCTCCACTCAACAGTAAAATACCAAGAACCGGTATTATATTATGTATTATATAAAAATATTCGAAGTTTGTACAACAATTAATTTTTGTTGGATTTCTTAAAAATGTCCAAACTTATATATAAATTATATTAGGTAAAGTTATCATCACCAACCGAATTGTATTCTTTGGCAAAATATGAAAATGCAACGATGTAGTTCTTGAAATTTATTTACACACACAATAATTCACCATGATCACTTAGATAAAATATTTATTAAACAATTCCTAAAAATTAAAAAAAAATTACAGAAATCATCGAAATTTTTTATAATTTCCTAGAAATCTTCAAAATAAATTAACAATTAAAACTCCTTGAAAATTAAAAAATAAATTACAAAAATCTTTAAACTGCTTGAATATTTACAGAAATTATCGAATTTTTTTAAAATTCCCTAAAAATCTTTTAGTATGTATGTATGGACCTAATACAATTTTTAAAACTTATTTTTAAAAAATGTACTGAATGTACCGTTTAACCGATTTGAAAATTTACAGAATTTTTTATAATTCCCTGGAAATCCTCAAAAATGTATTAGGTACAATTTTTAATAATTCTTAAAATTTTTAAAGAATGTACAACAATTTTAAAAAAGAGAGTCCAATTGGAAAGTTTACAGAAATCATCAACTTTTATAATAAATCCTTAAAAATCTTTAAAATGTATTAATTTTTTTAAAAACTCATGGAACCCTTTAAATTCCTTGGATATTTACAGAAATCAGAAATTTTTATAATTCTCTGATTAACCTCAAAATGTATTACAATTTTTAATAATTCTTAAAACTATTAAAGAATGTACAATTTTTTAAAAAATCTTTAAAACCCTTAAAACCCATTGAAAAATTTACAGAAATCATCAACATTTTTAATAAATCCTTAAAAATCTTTAAAATGTATTAATTTTTTTTAAACTCATTAAATTTATGGAACCCTTTAAACTTCTTGGATATTTACAGAAATCATCAAAAAAATTTATAATTCTCTAAAAATCTTTAAAACCCTTTGAATATTTAAAGAAATCATCGAATTTTCTTATAATTTCCTGTAAATCTTCAAAATATATAAAAATAATTAAAACTCTTTGAAAATTTAAAAACATGTACAGAAATCATTAAAAATATTTGGATATTTACAAAAATCATCGAAATTTTTTATAATTCCCTGGAAATCCTCAAAATATATTACAATTTTTAATAATTCTTAACATTTTTAAAGAATGTACAACAATTTTTAAAAAATCTTTGAAACCCTTTAAACCCATTGGAAAATTTACAGAAACCATCAACTTTTATAATAAATCCTTAATAATCTTTAAAAGGTTTTAATTTTTTTAAAAACCCTTTAAAAACTCCTTGAATATTTACAGAAATCATCGAATTTTCTTATAATTTCCTGTAAATCTCTAAAATATATAAAAAAAATTAATACTCTTTAAAAATTATAGAAATATTTGGATATTTACAGAAATCATGGAAATATTTATAATTCTCTGGAAATCCTCAAAATGTATTACAATTTTTAATAATTCTTAAAATTTTTAAAGAATGTACAACAATTTTTAAAAAATCTTTGAAACCCTTTAAATCCATTTGAAAATTTACAGAAATCATCAACATTTTTAATTAGGTAATCCTTAAAAATCTTTAAAATGTATTATTTTTTTTAAACTCATCAAAAAAATTATAATTCTCTAGAAATCTTTAATTTTTTTTATAATTTCCTGGAAATCCTCAAAATGTATTACAATTTTTAATAATTCTTATAATTTTTAAAGAATGTACAATAATCTATAAAAAATCTTTTAAACTGCTTGGATATTTACAGAAATCATCAATTTTTTTTTTATAATAAAATATATTATTTTTAAAAAATCCTCAAATATTTAAAAAAAAAATTACCGTAACTCTAACGTAATTATATAAGCAAATAAGCATATAAGGAATAATATAAGTCGAAATCGAGTAGTAAACCGAAGTTTTTTAGTTTTTACTTGTACCAAAATTTGCCGAGTTTGTGATAAAACTACTTATTTATTTAAAAATTTGTATGCTTTAAATGTATTTTTGAAAATTGTTGAATTCAACACGAAGATGGCGCGCGCGTTGCTAAAACCCTATGCTTGTTTAGCGTATGGTCCAACATTCTCGTACACAAGAAGAGAGAAGAGAGTAATAAAAAAAATAGCGTATCAGTTTAGTAAGAGCAAGCGGTGTATTCGTTGCAGAATCGTTTCCAGGGACAGCCTGAAAAGTACAAGCGCTTCCTGGAGATCCTGCACACGTACCAGAAGGAGCAGCGCACGCTGAAAGATCAGACGGCGACGGTGAGCGTGGTCGGGGTGGGCGTTGGCGGGGGGCAGCACTTGACCGAGAAGGAGGTGTACAGCCAGGTGGCGAAGCTGTTCGAGAACCAGAGCGACCTGCTGGCGGAGTTCGGGCAGTTCTTGCCCGACGCCACGAGCCACATCAACCAGACGGCGCCCTCGTCCGACCTGCTCGCGAACTCGTGCGTCAAGAAGGCGCAGAGCAAGCCGTACCACCGCGATCTGATCGTGCCGGCGCACAAGCAGCCCGGCGGCGGCATTGCGGGAGGCGGTTTAGTCGGGCCCGGGCTGGTGCCGCAGGAGAGGAAGCGCTCGCCATCTTATCCAGGTTTGTTACTTTTTTTTAACTCTTCAAACTTCTTGAAAAATTTACAGAAATCATCGACATTTTTTATAATTCCTTGGAAATCTTTAAAATGTATTAAAAACTTTACAGAAATCTTCAAAAATCTTTGGAACCCTTTAAACTCCTTGGAAAATTTACATAATTCATAAAAAAATTATAATTCCTTGAAAATCTTTCAAACTCCTTGGAAATTTATAGAAATCATTGACATTTTTTATAATTTCCTAGAAATCTCAATTTTTCAATTTTTTTTAATTTTTAAAATTAAAAAAAAAATACAGAAATCTTCTAAAATTTTTAAAACCCTTTAAATTCCTTGGGAAATTTACAGAAATCATCCAAATTTTTTATAATTCCCTAGAATATTCCAAAAAATTTACAGAAATCTTTGGAACCCTTTAACCACTTTGGAAATTTACAGAAATCATCATTTTCCTTGTAGATCTTTAAATATATTAAAGAATTTAAAACTCCTTAAAATTTTAAAAAAATGTACAGGAATCTTTAAAAATCTTTGGAACTCTTTATACTCCTTGGAAAATTTGCAGAAATCATAAATTTTTTTATATTTAATTATTTTATAACCCTTTGAACTGAACTACTTGAAAAATTTACAGAAATCATCGACATTTTTTGTAACTCCTTGAAAATCTTTAAAATGTATTATAAACTTCAAAAAATGTACAGAAATCTTCAAAAATCTTTGGAACCCTTTAAACTCCTTGGAAAATTTACATAATTCATAAAAAAATTATAGTTCCTTGAAAATCTTTTAAACTCCTTGGAAATTTATAGAAATCATTGACATTTTTTATAATTTCCTAGAAATCTCAATTTTAAAATTTTTTTTAATTTTTAAAATTAAAAAAAATACAGAAATCTTCTAAAATCTTTGGAACCCTGTAAATTCCTTGGGAAATTTACAGAAATCATCAAATTTTTTTATAATTCCCCAGAATATTCCAAAAAATGTACAGAAATCTTCAAAAATCTTTGGAACCCTTTAACTACTTTGGAAATTTACAGAAATCATCAATTTCCTTGTAATAAAGAATTTAAAACTCCTTAAAATTTTAAAATAATTTACAGGAATCTTTAAAAATCTTTGGAACCCTTTATACTCGGAAGATTTACAGAAATCATAATTTTTTTTTATATTTAATTATTTTATAACACTTTGAACTTGAAAATTTACAGAAACCATTCAAACTTTTTATAATTGCTTAGAAATCTTCAAAATGGATTACAATTTTTAAAACACTTAAAAAATATATAAAAAATATACAGAAGTCTTTATAACTCTTTAAACTTTTTGGAAAATTTACAAAATCCATTGAACTTTTTTAAATTCCTTAGAAATCTTCAAAATGTATTACAATTTTTAAAACCCCTAAAAAAATTATTAAATATACAGAAATCTTCAGAAGTCTTTGAAAAATTTACAGAAACCATTAAAACATTTTATAATTCTTTAGAAATCTTCAAAATGTATTACAATTTTTAAAACACCTAAAGAAAATATAAAATATACAGAGGTCTTTATAACTCTTTAAACTTTTTGGAAAATTTACAGAAACCATTGAACTTTCTTAAATTTCTTAGAAATCTTCAAAATGTATTACAATTTTTAAAACCCCTAAAAAAATTATAAAATAAACAGAAATCTTCAGAAGTCTTTAAAACCCTTTAAACTTTTTGTAAAATTTACAGAAACCATTGAACTTTTTATAATTCCTTAGAAATCTTCAAAATGTATTACAATTTTTATAACTCCTAAAAAATATATAAAATATACAGAAGTCTTTATAACTCTTTAAAGTTTTTGGAAAATTTACAGAAACCATTGAAACTTTTTAAAATTCCTTAGAAATCTTTAAAATGTATTACAATCTTTAAAATGTATTACAATTTTTAAAACCCCTAAAAAAATTATTAAATATACAGAAATCTTCAGAAGTCTTTGAAACCCTTTAAACTCCTTGGAAAATTTACAGAAACCATTGAACTTTTTAAAATTCCTTAAAAATCTTCAAAATGTATTACAATTTTTAAAACCCCTAAAAAAATATACAGAAATCTTCAGAAGTCTTTGAAACCCCTTAAGCGCCTTGGAAAATTTACAGAAACCATTGAAACTTTTCATAATTCCTTAGAAATCTTTAAAATGTATTCCAATTTTTAAAACTCCTAAAAAAAATTAAGAAATATACAGAAATCTTTGAAACCCTTGGAAAATTTACAGAATAATTGAAACTTTTTAAAATTCCTTAGAAATCGTCAAAATGTTTTACAATTTTTAAAACTTCTTTAAACTCCTTGAAAATTTATAGAAATCATTGACATTTTTTGTAATTCCCTAGAAATCATCAGAAAATTTACAGAATAATTGAAACTTTTTAAAATTCCTTAGAAATCGTCAAAATGTTTTACAATTTTTAAAACCCTTAAAAAAATATACAGAAATCTTCAGAAGTCTTTGAAACCCCTTAAGCGCCTTGGAAAATTTACAGAAACCATTGAAACTTTTCATAATTCCTTAGAAATCTTCAAAATGTATTATAATTTTAAAAACTCCTTAAAAAGTTATAAAATATACAGAAATCTTTTTAACTCTCTAAACTTCTTGAAAAATTTACAGAAACCATTGTAACTTTTTATAATTCTTTAGAAATCTTCAAAATGTATTACAATTTTTAAAACCCCTAAAAAATATATAAAATATACATAAATTTTTGAAACCCCTTAAAAACCTTGGAAAATTTACAGAAACCATTGAACTTTTTAAAATTCCTTAGAAATCTTCAAAATGTATTACAATTTTTAAAACTCCTGAAAAAATTTAAGAAATATGCAGAAATCTTTGAAACCCTTTAAACTTCGTGTAAAATTTACAGAAATCATCAAATTTTTTTATATTTACTTATTTTTTATGTTTAAAACTCCTTAAAATGTATTAAAAATTTTAAAACTTCTTGAAAATTAAAAAAAATACAGAAATCTTCAAAAAACTTTGAAATCCTTTAAAGTACTTAGAAAATTTACAAAAATGGTAAAAATATTACAGAAATCTTTTTAACTCGAACTTGTTAACAATCTTTAATATAAAACTTAAAAAAAAATCCAAAAAAATGTCGAAAAATAAATCTAACGTATCGTATGCAGGTTTGTTGCACAACCGGGACGCTCCGCCGACGAAAAAGCACAAAATGTCTCTGTCGTCGTGCCGCGACGTAACTCTGAGCGAGGCCGGCAAATACGGCACGCTAAACGACTACGCGTTCTTCGACAAGGTGCGAAAGGCGGTGCGCTCGCCCGAAGTGTACAACAACTTTCTGCGCTGCCTCGCCCTGTTCAACCAGGAGATCGTCTCCAAATCGGAGCTCATACAGATCGCGACGCCGTTCCTCGGCAAGTTTCCCGAGCTGCTGCGCTGGTTCCGCGAGTTCGTCGGCCAGCACCAGAACCAAGAGGTCGAGGCGGTGCCGTACGCGGCGGCGGTCAGGGGCGCGGAGCGGCCGCAAGGCGACAGCCTGCTGGAGATCGATCTGGCGACGGCCAAGCGGCTGGGCGCCAGCTACTGCATCATACCGAAGGCGCAGGAGGGGCTCTTGTGCTCGGGCAGGAGCCAGCTGGACAAGGAGGTGCTCAACGATCAGTGGGTGTCGTTTCCCACCTGGTCGGAGGACAGCACGTTCGTCAGCTCGCGCAAGACGCAGTACGAGGAGTACATGTACAGGTGAGAATATTACACCCTTTTGGACTTGCATCATCCATTTGGTATATATTTTACTTGAAATATATACCAAATAAGACGATGGAAGTACTTTTATAATCAAAACACCACCTTCAAACAAATATTCAGAAATCTTAAGAAATTCTAAAAATTATTTTTGGAAGTTCTTAAAAATTTTAAAAACTATTTAATATATTTAGAAATCCTCATAAATCTTCAATATTTTTAATAATTCCTGAGAAATCAAAAAATATTTTTTTAAATTTAAAACTCCTTAGAAATCCTTATAAAATTTCAAAAATGTACATACATATAATCAAAATTAGAAATAATAAAAAATCTTCATAAATCATTGGAAATTTTTAAAATTTCTTAACAATTTTGAAAACTGATACATTTAGAAATCCATATCTTCAATATTTTTAATAACTCCTAAGAAATCTTCAAAATATATTTTTAAAGTTTTTAAACCCCGAGAAATCATAAAAAAGCTTCATAAAACACTGGAAATTTACAAATTTTGTTAGAGGTTCTTAATATTTTTTTTTTAATGGTTAGAAATCATTATATAACCTAAAAAGATTACGTAAATTATCAAAATATATAACAAAAATTAAAACTCCTTTAAAATAATTAAAAATCTTTTTAAATCACTAAACATTTTTTTTTAACTCTTAAAAATCTCAAAAACTCTTTAATATATTTAGAAATTCTTATAAATAACAGAACTCTTCTAAAATCTTTTGTACCCTTTAAACTCCTTTGATATTTACAGAAATTATACAGGGTGTTATGTAATTAATGTTATATATTAAAATACTGAATACCTTTTGACATAAGGAATAAAGGAAAAATATTTAAAAAAACATTTTTCCAAAGATAAAGAAAAAATATGCATTAGAAGTTTTTTATATTTTTTGTGATACGCCACTGGTTACACACTTGTTTATCTCTGCACACCTGTATTTTGTGAGTACATAGATACCAACCAACAAAGTAGCTATGCGTTGCCAGATGTAAAAAATTGTTACTAAAAATTTTTCTTGCAAAAAATAAATAAAAACCACAGACCACCAAAACAAATGGACGGCGCATTGCCATTCAATAACAATGATTTGTTTGCCGTCAACAAACGGTCACAGTCTAAGCGTCAAATTGGAGATAGAATTTTATGTTTTCTTCCAGTGACGTCATCAAACGGTCACAGTCTAAGCGTTAAATTGGCGATAGAATTTTATGTTTTCTTCCAGTGACATATTGGGATTAAAAAAATAAGTAGGTGGGTACTTACAAACGATATTTCCATGTATTGTTATTTTTAGTAAAAAATAATGTATTTAAACTCCATAATTAACTTAAACACGATAGAAATACACAAACGAAAACACAAAACAACAAGCTGTCAACCCACAGAACATAACCTTTTTCTATGCTGTCAAATATGACGAATTTACCAACGTTGTTAATATTTAATTTTAATAATTATTAAATGATTTACTTTCTTTAAATAGAGAAAAATATCTAAAGAAAATGATAAACAAATACTTTTTACAATTTTTTTATTATTCAAACGAATTACTGGTAATTATTAATGTTCATTATGTTTGATGAACGTCCAAAAAGGCGTGTAATCTATACTTCTGACAACGTTGGAAGCCGTGTTTCTTTCGACGGTGTTTAGAATGTGAAACTATGCTTTACTCGCTTTTTAAACGTAAACAAATCCGTCCATTTGTTTTGGTGGTCTGTGATAAAAACTCAATAAATACAAAAGTTTTATGCCCTTAAAGCTCTAAAGCTTAATTTTCATGTATCCGTTTGTCCGTCATCCGTATGTCAGTTTTTCAATAAAATCGTCCGATAAGAAATGTTCTAATTTTCATGCATACGTTTTTTAATGACGTTTAATGGAATGATTTTGCGACAAATAGAAATTAAGTGTCAGTATATTCACTTACTAAATTTACCTAATGCTTAATTGTCATAGTTACAATTATGTCAACAATTGTAACTTTAACAGTTAGCTGTCTAATAAATTTAAAGGTAGGTAAATATACCTTATAAAAAGAATATACTAGCCCTAATATACATTAAAATGTATAGTTTTAAAAAAGCAGGTCCTTTTAGTTCTAGTTTTAATTTTTTTTGTTTGTCCTTTCTTTTTTTCCGTTATTCTTATTAAATAAAAACTTAACAGTAAAACATTATTCACATAACGAACGTAATATTTCTGTTTTACAATCTTATTGAAAAAATATAAAAATATTTGAAAATAAATTATCTTAAAATAACGTTAGGCGTCAAAAACAGATGTGTAGTGACGGATAAGTTAAAATTATTTAACCTTTCTCTGTCAGACGTACGAAGTTGAAACTTGACGGACCGATAAAATGTCATAATTTTCGAATTATAATTGGACCAATAAGAGCGCTCCCGGATGAACGGACTGACGGACAAACGGATACATGAAAATTAAGCTTAATACCCTTCTGTATTTATTTACTGATCCAGCTATTAGCTTAAGCAATGATTAGAAAATTTAGTACCTTTGAAATTTGAAATCCATAACCACAAAATTAATTTTTTCATCAGTTTTTTTCTCTGTTTACTCAGATGAAATTGGGACCAGGTGCGCGATCCTCGACATCACTCGCACCGTACGTATACGACATGAAGTCGAGCGATTCATTTGCGAATGGTTTTAAAAAATTGTATCCTCGACAAATCTTCGCGATTGAAAACGTACACGACAAAATTAAACGAGTGGTTCATCCGGCAACACCGCATGTGTTAGTTTATTTACGTTTAATGTAGTGGTAGTTACCAGCTTTGACAATGTCAAAGCTAGTATCTGAATGTCAAATTGACATTCTCTTGGACATTGTGTTTGTGTTTATATTGTTTGACATAGAAATATAATTTATACAAGTGCAAAGCCCGTCTACAACTGTGCTATTTGTATGTAACATGATGGACATTAAAAAAAATATACCACTGAGAAGCAAAAGAAAACTTTAATTAAATTAATTTAAAAAATGAAGCATTGTAAAGTGGAAAATTTTCAAATAATTTTACGTACAAGGACGCCCAGAGGGAATAGGAGAAAATTGTTTGTACATCTAAATCTGTGGCATGATGAGCATGAGATAAGTCATTTTCCAAAAGATTTATAAGAAACATTGACAATTCTTTTGAGAGACGAAAAAGTCTAACAAAAAGTTTATCGGATAAATCGTTAACTATATATAGCATAAACAAAAAATAATATTTATGTCATAGAAAACCATCGAAAAAGTATGCGACATTTAAAAACGAATGCCTAATTCCGCTCGCAGTAAACCACTCGCAATTGGTGCGCATACGTACCCATTGTGAGCGGTCAAGAATACGAAATACACGTCTCGAATGCAATGTCGTATACGTTAATAAAAGTCGAGCGCTCGAGGATAGCACCCCAGTTCACAGGTTAAACTTTAAACATTTAATTGTGTAAATAAATCCAAAAGCACTTCCCTTAGTTAAGATATTTACAATTTGAAAACATAACCTAAAATTTAAAAGAAATGCACTAGATTCTGTCATAAATGTTGGCAGATTTAGTTTGAATTTACCTTCAGTACAAAAATGAAATAACCAACAATTAATAAAAACGTAAAATTGACAATTTGCATTGTTAATTTTGTCATTTTTGTAATTAAGCTAAATTTAAACAATGCTTGGCAACTTTTTTGAAAGATTTTGGAAACAGTTGTTACCAACCATAACATAATAAATCCACCAGATTAACCTAAAGTTCCTAGTCGATCAGTGGCGTACTTTTTGGTAGGATAAAGGTTATTATAAATTATTTTTAGACTTTGGAATTTAGAAAAAAAAAATTTCAGGTGCTTCTTTATGGACCCTAAGGAACAACCCATTTTAATATATAACATTAATTACATAACACCCTGTAGATTTTTTTTATAGTTCCCCAAAAATCTTATTAATATATTATTTTTTCAAACTCCTTATAAATTAAAAAAAACGTACATAAATCTTGAAAATGTACAGAAATCATTGACATTTTTTATAATTTCCTAGAAATCTTTAAAATTTTGTAAACATTTAAAAAATTACAAAAATCTTTGGAAAATTAACAAAAATCATCAAAAATTTCACTAAATCTTTAAGCGTCTTCAAAATATATTAAGAAATTTTAAAACTCCTTAAAAATTTCCAAAAATGTTGTGAAATCTTCAAAAATCTTTGGAACCCTTTAAACTACTTGGATATTTACAGAAATAAACGAATTTTTTTTAATTTCCTATAAATCTTCAAAAAGCTTTGCAATCTTTAAACTCCTTGAAAATTTTGCAGAAATCATCAAAAATCTTTAATATCTTACAAATCTTTTAAAATTTACAAAAATCTTCATAATATATTAGGAACTCCTTATAAATTTTAATAAATGTACAGAAATCTTCAAAAAGATTTGCAATCTATAAACTCCTTAAAAATCATCAAAAATCTTTAATATCTTACAAATCTTTTAAAATTGACAAAAATCTTTAAAATTTATTAGGAAATTTTTAAAACTCCTTATAAATTTTAATAAATGTACAAAAATCTTCAAAAAGCTTTGCAATATTTAAACTCCTTAAAATTTTTCCACAAATCATCAAAAATCTTTAATATTTTACAATTCTTCTAAAATTTAAAAAAATCTTTAAAATATATTAGGGAATTTTTAAAACTCCTTATAAATTTTAATAAACATACAGAAATCTTCAAAAAGCCTTGCAATCTTTAAACTCCTTCAAATTTTTGCAGAAATCATCAAAAATCTTCAAAATATATTAGTAAATTTTTAAAACACCTTATAAATTTTAACAAATGTACAGAAATCTTTAAACTCCATAAAATGTTTACAGAAATCATCAAAATCTTTAAAAAAATTATTAGAACTCTTTAGAGTAGGTATTCTTTTATTATATAAAAAAATTGGCCCTATGTAACGCCTCGATATAATGACCTTAGATGCGAGGACGAACGTTTCGAGTTGGACGTGGTGATCGAGACGAACGCCTCCACCATCCGCGTGCTCGAAGGCGTCAACAAAAAACTGAACCGCATGTCCGCCGACGAAACGTCGCGCTACAAACTGGACGACACCTTGGGCGGGCAGTCAGCTACGCTGCACCAGCGCGCGCTGCGCCGCATCTACGGCGACAAGGCGGCCGACATCGTCGACGGTTTGAAGCGCAACCCGTCTGTTGCGGTGCCGGTGGTGCTGAGGCGGCTCAAGGCCAAGGAGGAGGAGTGGCGGGAGGCGCAGAAGGGCTTCAACAAGGTGTGGCGCGAGCAGAACGAGAAGTACTACCTCAAGAGCCTCGACCACCAGGGCATCAACTTCAAGCAGACGGACGTCAAGGCGTTAAGGTCCAAGAGCCTCTTCAACGAGATCGAGACCATCTTCGACGAGGTGAGTTTCGAAAACAATTTAAAAATCATAAAAAATCATCAATTTTTTTTAGAATTTCTTAATATCTTTGGAAATTCTTTTAAATCTTCAAAAAATTTACAAAAACCATCAATATTTATAATTATAATAATTTATTATAATAATTCCTAAAAAATCTTCAAAATATATTAGGAAATATTTTAAACTTTTTGGAAATTTAATAAATTTAAAGAAATCTTCAAAAATCTTTGCAATTTTTAAACCCCTCAAAGTTTTTGTAATTCCTTAGAAATCTTTAAAATATTAAGAAAATTCCTCAGAACCCTTTACAGAAATCATAAAAGATCTTAACTCATTGGAAAAATTCCAAAATTTCTTTAAAAATTTTGAAAACTATTTAAAAAAAAAGGCAAAACTACTTGGAAATCATTACAAATCATCATAAATAACTGGAAATGTTCAATTTTTTTTAGAATTTTCTAATATCTTGGAAACTCTTTAATATGTTTGGAAATTCTTTTAAATCTTCATAAATTTGCAAAAACCATCAATATTTATAATTATAATAAATCCTAAAAAATCTTGGAAATTTTAATAAATTTAAAGAAATCTTTGCAATTTTTAAAGTCCTTAAAATTTTGCAGTTATCAAAAATTTACAAAAAATTTGTAAAAGTTTTTGTAATTCTTTGGAAATCTTTAAAATATTAAGAAAATTCCTCAGAACCCTTAAAATTTTTGCAGATATCAAATATTTACAAAAATCTTCAAAGTTTTTGTAATTCCTTAGAAAATTCCTCGGAACCCTTTACAGAAATCATAAAAAATCTTAACTCATTGGAAAAATTCCTAAATTTCTTTAAAAATCTTGAAAACTTGAAAATAAAAATATATTAAAAAAAAAAGGCTAAACTAAAAAATTGTAGGTAATTTATTATATATTATTTTTGCATCAAAATTGTCAAATATGTTCTTCTATTATTACATAAAAAAAATCGCAAGAAATATTTTATAAAAGTAGAGATAATTTCAATAATTTATAGGGATGGACGGGACAAGATAAATCTTTTTTTTGTGCCATCCACCCCTTTCAATTATTAAAATTATATCTACTTTCATAAATAATTTCATAATAAAAGAATATTTTTGACAATTTTGATGCCAAAATATTATATAATAAATAATCTACAATTTTTTTTATAAAAACAGTTTTGTAATTCGTGTGTTTCGCGCGCTTTAAATGGCCGAAAACCATCAATATTTATAATTATATTAATTTATTATAATAATTCCTAAAAAATCTTCAAAATATATTAGGAAATTTTTAAAACTTTTTGGAAATTTTAATAAATTTAAATAAATCTTTAAAAATCTTGGCAATTTTTAAACTCCTTAAAATTTTGCAGATATCAACAAAAATTTACAAAAATCCTCAAGGTTTTTGTAATTCCTTGGAAATCTTTTATATATTAAGAAAATTCCTCCAAACCCTTTACAGACATCATCAAAAATCTTAACTCATTGGAAATATTCCAAGTTTTCTTTAAAAATCTTGAAAACTTATAAATAAAAATATATTTAAAAAAAAGGCAAAACTATTTGGAAATCATAAAAAATCATCATAAATAACTAGAAATTTTCAATTTTTTTTAGAATGTTCTAATATCTTGGAAACTCTTTAATATGTTTGGAAATTCTTTTAAATCTTTAAAAAATTTACAAAAACCATCAATATTTATAATAATTATTATAATAATTTATTATAAATAATTTAATAATAATAATAATTTATTATAAATAAATCTTCTTGTAAATTTTAATAAATTTAAAGAAATCTTCAAAAATCTTTGCTATTTTTTAAACTCCTTAAAATTTTGCAGTTATCATCAAAAATCTACAAAAATTGTTTTTGTAATTCCTTGGAAATCTTTAAAATATTAAGAAAATTCCTCAGAACCCTTTACAGAAATCATCAAATATCTTTATAACTCATTGGAAATATTCCAAAATTTCTTTAAAAATCTTGAAAACTTTAATATTTTTAAAAATCCTTACATTATTATTATTAAAACTACTTGGAAATCATAAATCACTGGAAATTTTCAAAATTTTTTAAAAGTACCTAAAATCTAATTTTAATATCTTTGAAATATTACAAAAACCATAAACATATATAATTATAATAATATATTATTATAATTCCTGAGATATCTTCAAAATATATTAGGAAATTTTAATAAATTTAAAGAAAACTTTAACTTAAACATCTTTCAGAGGCACGAGCAGAACGAGGAGGGGGCTGAGCAGGCGTCCGGAGCGCATTTGGTGCTGCCATACAAGGACCGCACCATTTTGGACGACGCCTCGAACCTGCTGATTCACCATTTGAAGCGGCAAGCGGGCATCCAAAAAGGGGAGAAGAGGCGCATTAAGAATTTGCTTCGGCAATTTTTGCCCGATCTTTTCTTTCATCCCCGGCAGCCGGTCAGCGACGACGAAAGGGAGGACGACGGTAAGATTTTTATCCATTTTTTCTTGATATACTTTTTTTCCAGAAAAAATAGTTCATTTTACCGGAAATTTACTTTTTTTTTAAAACTCGAAGGTTTTTTACAATTTGATTCATAAAACAAAAAAATCGCAATAAAAATGGTAAAGTTATAAAGCCAACAAAACAGACCACACAAATAAGACATTTAATAATTTTAAAAAATTTAAAAATCTCAAAAAAAATTTAGTATGGTTAGGAATCCTTTTAAAACTTAAAAAAATTACGTAAATTTTAACAGCTTTGAAATAATGTTTGAAAATTATTTATTATAATTAGAAATCCTCATAAGTCTCTTATATATTTTTAAGTTTAAAACTCCTAGAAACATAATATTGATGATTTTTTTTAGAAATTCTTAAAAATCTCAAAAACTTTTTAATATTATTAAGAAGCCTTCAAAAATTTAAACTGCTTAGAAATAATGGAAAGTCTTCATAAATCACTAAAAAATTTCTTAAAAAGTCTTTAATATCTTTAGAAATATTTATAAAACTATGAAAACTATGTAATATATTTAGAAATCATCATAAATCTTCAATATTTTTAATAACCCCTGAGAAAATATATTTAAAAAAATTCAAAACCTAAATCATTAAAAATTTTTAATCATTCAAAAGTTTTTTAGAAGTTCTTAAATATCTTAAAATCTTTAGAAATCCTTATAAAACTTCAATATTTTTAATTATTAATTTTAAAAATTTAAAAGTTTTTAGAAATCCTAAAAAAATTCTTTAAAAACTAATATCTTTGGAAATTGTTATAAAACTTCAAAAATTTACATAAATCATTAAAATACATAAAAAAATAAAAATCCTTAGAATATTAAAAAATCACTAAAAATATTCAAAATTTATTAAAAATTTCGAAAACTATTTAGTAAATTTTAAAATGTTAACAGAATCTAAAACATCTTGGATATTTCAATATGTGTACAAAAATCTTTAAAAAATCCTGTATTGAAACTCCTTAAAAATTTGATTGATTCATAAAACATAAAAATCGCAAAGAAATGAAAAACGACTGCACAAATAAGAAATTTATTAATTTTTTTAAACTCCTTAAAATTTTTAAAAAATGTACAAAAAACTTCAAAATCCCTTTCCTGCAACAATTTACATAAATAGTATTTTTTTTATAATTCATTGGAAATATTTAAAAAATTTAAACTCTTTAAAAATTACAAACTATTTTCTTTAAATCTTTAAAAACTAAAAATATAAAAAACAAATTAATTTATTTAAAACACCTTAAAAATCTTAAAAAATGTACAGCAATCTTCAAAAATCTTTGGAACCCTTTAAACTCGTTGGAAAATGTAGTGACATTTTTTATAATTTCTTAGAAATCTACAAGATGAAGTATTTTTAAATTAAAAAAAAATTTACAGCAATCTTCAAAACCTTTGGAATCCTTTAAACTTTTTGTAAAATTTACCTAAGTCATCAAAACTTTGTATGATTCCTTAGTAATCTTCAAATTAATTAATTTTTTTTAAACTATTTAAAAAAGTTTTTGAAAAATGTATAGAAATCATCGAAATTTTTTATAATTTATTAGAACTCTTTAAAATATTTATATTTTTGTAAACTCCTTGGAAATTGAAAAAAAATGTACAGTTATCTTTAAAAATTATTGAAACCCTTAAGCTCTTTGAAAAATGTAGTTAAATCATCACATTTTTTATTTTTTGGAAATCTTAAAGTTGTTTTTTCAAGTTTTAAAAATAACAATAATCTCTTAACATGAGAAATTCCTTAAAAATTTTAAAAAATGTACAGGAATCTTTAAAATGATCGACATCGTTTTAGTTTTTAGCGATATCTTAAAAAGTCTTTAATATTTGTTAAAATCCACCATTTAATCCATAAAAACAAAAATTGCAATAGCAATAAAAAAAATGATTCTATGTATCATTCTTTAAAATCCTTCTTTGTCCCATCAAAAAACGTGTCCAAAAATTATTTTCTTGCTCGATGATATTTTGATGCAAGATTTTTTTTCGTTGAAGACGACAAAGACGATTGCGACGAGAGTCCGGGCAGCAGCCCGAGCGAAGCGAAAAGCGGCAAGGGCAGCTCGAGCCCGGGGAAATCCCCGTCGAGGAGCGACGATAACCCGGAAACGATCAAAAACGAACCGGAAGCGAGGACGGAAGACGACCTCGGCAAAGTGCCTTCTTCACACGCCCAAATCTCCGATCCCGTAAGTCAATTTTTTTATTTTTAATTCGATTTCGTCGTGAAAACGATTGTTTTTTCTTTTTGCCAGGAGGAATCGTATTCTCTGTTCATGGCCAACAACAACTGGTACATATTCCTGCGACTGCACGCGATTTTGTGCGAGCGTCTGGCGAAAATTTACGAGCGCGCCGTTGCCTTGGCCGAGGAGGAGGCGCGCATGCGCGTGGGGCGCAAAGAGAGCACCGCGGTGGCGCTGCGCCTCAAGCCCAAGCCGCAAATCGAGGTCAGTACTTTTTGAGTGCGATAATTTTCACTTTTCAGCCTTTAAAGTATTTTTTACGGTTAACCAAATTTGCGGAATGATTTATTTCGTTATTTTACCTACATACATAATATCCTTTTTATCTACTGAGAGAATAACGCAATAAAAACAATATACAGGGTGTTATGTAATTATGTTATATATTAAAATACTGAATACCTTTTGACATACGCAGTAAAGGAAAAATATTTAAAAAAATATTTTTCCAAAGATAAATAAAAAATATGCATTACAAGTTTTTTATATTTTTTGTGATACGCCTCTGGTTACACACTTGGTTTATCTCTTCACACTTGTGTTCTGTGAGTACATAGATACCAACCAACAAAGTAGCTGCGCGTTGCCAGATGTAAAAAATTGTTACTAAAAATTGTTCTTGCAAAAAATAAATAAAAACTCAATAAATACAAAAGTTTTATGCCCTTAAAGCTCTAATACCAGGGTTCCCACACCTCCTAAAACTCATAAAATTCCTAAAATTTGGCTTAAATCTTGAAAACTCCTAAAATTCTCCTAAAATGGCATTCAATCTCCTAAAACTCCTAAAATCCTAAAAATTAAACCTGACTTGCGTTTAATTAAGGTAGTGCTAAAAAAATTATATTTAAAAATATATATTTTTAGGTTCTATTTTATTAAATTCTTTTTAAAATGATATAATATCACAACCAAAATTTTTCTTAAAAAACAACAAAAAACTTCTACAAAATTGTCATTTTTAGCGATATTTCGTTTTTTAATCAAATACCGTGTTATATATCAAACAAAAGGATTTTTAATTTCCTTTTAAATGACAGCTAAAATAGTAAACAATCTAAAGAATGTTTTGCTGTATTTTGCAAACTTTATATTTTGTTATGAGATTTTTAAGTATTAAGATCCACATTACAATTAAATCGGTGAAGTCCATTTATTATTTATTTATTTTCTAAAATCAATTTTAAAGTTTAAAATACATTTTTGTGAGAAGATATAAATTATTTTACAGAATATAATATAATTTCATAAAATAGTTAAAATATTCTAACAAAAATGCATTTAGAACTATAAAACTGATTTTTTGAAATATTTTATCAAAAATTTTTCTTTTGGACTATTCTTAATCTTACCGATTTTATTACTGTTAGTTATTAACTAAACGGTTAACATATTTTTTCTTAAAATATAAATATAACATCATTTGATTTTGGCATAGTTTTTTAACCAAATCTATCGACGCATTTTTTAAAATAAAATAAACAGTGTGGTGAAATTTATACTTGTACCTCAGATATATAAAAAAGTAGTAATTTTACCTCACTTTTAATTTTATTTAAAAAAAAACTCGTCGAGCGATTTGGCTAAAAAATCAATATAGGTAACTTATTTTTACAAAATAAGTATTAATTTTTTCTTTAGAGTTGTTTTTATTTAATTAAAGAAATTCATTTCCATACTTTATTTCTCCTAAAATTTTACAAAAAACCTCCTAAATTCCTAAATAAAATTTGTAATTTAGTCATGGAGCCCTGTAATACCCTTCTGTATTTATTTACTCATCCAGCTATTAGCTTAATTAAGCAATGATTAGAAAATTTAGCACCTATTTTAAAAAATCCACAACCACAAGATTAATTTTTTCCACGGTTTTTTTCTTTGTTTACTCAGATAAAATTGGGACCAGTTCACAGGTTAAACTTTAAACATTTAATTTGTGTAAATAAATCCAAAAGCACTTCCCTTAGTTAAGATAACCTAAAATTTGAAAAAAATGCACTAGATTCTGTCATAAAATTGGCAGATTTTGTTTGAATTTACCTTCAGTACAAAAATGACATAACCAACAATTAATAAAAACGCCAAATTGACAATTTGCATTGTTGATTTTGTCATTTTTGTAATTAAGCTAAATTTAAACAATTCTTGGCAACTTTTTTGACAGAATTTGAAACGCTGTTGTTACCAACCATAACATAATAAATTAAATTAGGCAACCAGATTAGCCTAAAGTTCCTAGTCGATCAGTGGCGTGCTTTTGGGTAGGATAAAGGTTATTATAAATTATTTTTAGTCTTTGGAATTTAGAGAAAAAAAGTTTCAGGTGCCTCCTTATGGACCCTAAGGAACAACCCATTTTAATATATAACATTAATTACATAACACCCTGTAAATACCACAAATTTACGTAAAAATAACGCTATAATTACTAAATGTTTGCTCTCTCTTTCTACATCATTGACATTCACAATTTCTTTGTTCTTTTAATTTATATTTTACAAAACCACCCTGGAGTAAAATTAAAAAATATTACTTAAATTGTCAAAACTAATAAATAAAACTCAAACGCACATTATATTATCGATAAAAATAGGCGCGATACATCTTAAAAAATATATGCCCTCTAAATATTTTACTGTTTTAAGAAAAATTATTGCTTGGGTGAAAATCTAACAAAACTTAAAACCTACAAAATTTTATAAAATCTTTTAAAAATCATTTGGTTTTAAATTACCTTTAAATTTTCCTTTAGGTGAAATACACTTATCTTTCGTAAAAATTACGTCCCTCATAATACTTTAAAGTGTTGAAACTTAAGGGTTACTAAAATAGTTAAAAATAACATAAATATAAGTCAATTAATGAAAAAAATGCCAGGTGGACGCTTACTACCCGGCCTTCTTGGACATGGTGAAGAACCTGCTGGACGGCAACATGGAGGCGAACACGTACGAGGACACTTTGCGCGAGATGTTCGGCATCCACGCCTACATCGCCTTCACCTTGGACAAGGTGGTTTCGTACGCGGTGCGCCAGCTGCAGCACTGCGTCACCGAGCGTCCGGCCCGAGCCTGCACCGAGCTCTTCTTGAAGGAGCAGAAGAGGGGGGCGGCGGGCGGCGGCTGCCATCTGGCGCACAAGCGCGCCCACCTCGAGCTGGGCTACCAGCGCGCCGCCGAGAAGGCCGTCCAGGAGGAGAACTGCTTCAAGATTTACGTCTACAAGAAGGATTGCAGGTGAGTTTTTTTTAACATGCTCTAGAAATGTTCTTTTTTAACTTTGTTTTATTAATCCAATCAAGCATTTGGCCGCAAAAAATTAGTTTAATTTGGCAGTAAAATATAATAATAATTCCAATCAAAAGCGTTTACTTTGGAAAATAAAAGTAAATACATTTTTTGTACGAAATTTAGTTTTCTAGGAATCGCTAAAATCAATGCAACACTTTACAGAATCTAATGGCGGCCATTTTTATGTTTATACAGATTAAAAATCGTTTTAAACGTTGTGTGTCCTACAGAGGCTCTTGTAAGCCTCAAATGAGGCCTTTAAGTGCTAAGAACAACCATTTTAAACCTTATTCTCAGGGCTGTCATCAAACTGTAGTGGAACCATTAGGGTCATTATTTTATATTTCCGTAATTTTATATTAAAGAATAAAGTACAAGTATAGGTACAGCCCTAAATACTGTCTTATTCGAATTATATCTAATATCTTACTAACTAACAAATTGATTACTAATTATAAGGTGCATATGAAAATATGCTACCTCAGGGAAATGACGTGGCGCACCTAGGGTTCATTGAATTATTTGTTAATAAAAGTCAGCAATTATAAAGTTATTAACTTGTATTTTAAAGCCAATAATGTTTTAATATAAAATTACGGAAATATAAAATAATGACCCTAATGGTTCCACTGTGTTATACTACCAGATCAGTTGTGTGAGGGTGTTTTTGTGGCAGGTAGTCTAGCACGAGCTCGTAATAATATAATTCCTGTTAGGATTCTTAACGTACGCGAGCAAGACATTAAATTGAAAAATTTTCGGCCCAAGACGGATTACACTTCCAATTACAAAGTAATTAATCCTTTAGAGGGTAATTCTAAATCGGTAAAACGCATAGAGAAATTATTACAGACAATTGATACAACGCACTTAAATTGCGAAGAACGGAATTCAATTCAACACATTTGCGCGAAATATGCCGACATTTTTCATTTAGAAGGAGATCCTTTATCGGTGACTAACATATATAAACAAAAGATTCATTTACGGAAAAATGCGCAACCGTGTTATAAAAAACCGTATCGTTTACCTCACGCTCAGAAAACCGAAATTCAAAGGCAGGTTGAACAAATGTTGGTAGACGGAATTGTGGAACCAGCAGTTTCAGAATGGTCTGCACCTATTCTTATTATACCCAAAAAACTTGACCAAAGCGGAATTAAAAAATGGCGGCTTGTAGTCGATTACAGATTTTTAAATGAACAGATTCAAGACGATAAGTTTCCGTTACCAAATATTACAGACATTCTCGACTCGTTGTCAGGCGCAGTATACTTTTCTCATTTGGATTTGTCGCAGGGATATTACCAGATTGAGTTAGAGCCGGAGAGTCGGCCTTGCACTGCGTTCACTACAGACCGAGGACAATTTCAAATGAAAAGATTGCCAATGGGTCTTAAAATTAGCCCTAGTGCATTTTCCAGAGCGATGACTGTAGCTTTATCGGGACTTACTTACGAAAATTGTTTTATCTACTTAGACGACTTAATTGTTTTTGGCAATACGCTGTTCATACATAATCAAAATCTTATTAAAGTTTTGCAAAGGTTACGCGACGTTCGTTTAAAGTTAAATCCGCATAAATGCGAATTTTTAAAACATGAGTTACTGTATTTAGGGCACATAATTTCGGCCGACGGTATTTCACCAGACCCAACAAAAATAGAGGTCATTCGAAATTATCCAGTGCCTAAAGATTCTCAGGAAACCAAACGATTTGTTGCTTTCGCTAATTATTATAGGCGTTATATTCCAAATTTTGCACATATTGCCTACCCCTTAAATCAATTATCTCGAAAAAACATAACATTTCGTTGGACGGATATTTGTCAAAACTCATTTGAAACACTTAAAAATGCACTACTTAAACCACCTATTCTACAATACCCGAATTTTTCACCAAATAATACCTTTATCCTAAGGACAGACGCCTCAGGATATGCCCTTGGAGCTGTACTATCTAATGGCGACGACAGACCGATCGCTTATGCAAGTAGATCACTCAATAAAGCAGAGAAAAACTATTGCGTTATTGAAAAAGAACTACTAGCCATTGTTTGGGCATCCAAACATTTTCGACCTTATCTCTACGGTCGACACTTCTATATCCTTACGGACCACCGACCCTTACTTTACTTATTCGGTATGCATAACCCGAGCAGTCGTTTAACGAAATTTCGGTTAGTTTTAGAGGAATACAATTTTACCATCCGTTATGTGACCGGTAAGAGTAATGTTACGGCTGACGCACTATCGCGTATTGACCTTAGCGTTACTGACCTTAAAAACCTTAGTCAGGAAACTTCTCAATGTATGTTTGTACTTACAAGAGCTCAATCTAAACAACAACAAACTTCTAGCAGTAATGATAATTCTTTTATTTCACGCGACAGGCTTGATCACCCTGGCGTTGTGAATCTTTTGAAAGCTCCTGTAGATGCTTATGAACTAAGGCATTTACCCTCTCCCGAATTTGACAGAATTATATGTAATACGACGACAGATTATAAATATAATAATTTTCTTTGTTTAGATGAGGCGCGCGTCATTTATTATAAGCAGATAGCTCGATCAACAACTACACTAGATGAGTCGTTGAGAGCTCTGCAACATATATGTAAAAAATATAATATTCCGGAATTAGTAATTGTAAAGAATAAAAATGGTACCATATTATTAAAAGAATTTTTAAGGGATCCCAAACTATTGCAAAAATATAATATAAAATTGACAATTCTTAAAGATATTGTTACTGTCGATGATCTCGAAATGAGACAAATTATTCTCAATGACTTTCATTTAATCCCCACGGGAGGTCACGCCGGCATTAATAGAATGTATAACAATATAAAACGCTACTATTATTGGCCAGGTTTACGTAAACAAGTAATAGATTTTGTTAAACGATGTGATGACTGCCAGCGGTATAAACACTCTAAACCCAATACCGAACCAATGAATATAACCTCTACGGCTTCCTATGCCTTTCAACGAATTTTTTTGGATCTTGTCGGACCTATCGAGGCCGATGTAGATAATAATCGATACGCCCTTACCATACAATGTGATTTGACAAAATTTGTCGAATGTTACCCAATTATCAACAAAGAAGCAAGCACCGTGGCGCGATCTTTTGTCGACAACTTCATTCTACGGTACGGCATTCCCGAATACGTCGTAACGGATCAAGGGACTGAATTTTTAGCAGCCACGTTTCAAGAAACATGCAAATTATTACAAATCGAAAAGTTAAATTCCACAGCTTACCACCATGAAACCATAGGTGCTTTGGAAAACTCTCATAAAACGTTAGGGTCTTATTTGCGTATTCAAATTTCAAAACATCGCGATACGTGGAGTTCGTGGTTACCGTATTGGTCGTTCGCATACAATACTACGGTTCATACGGAAACACGTTACACTCCGCATGAATTAGTTTTTGGCAAACTCGCTAAACTACCCTCTCATGTCACGCAACAACTTGCTCCTTTATATACATTTGATAACTACCCATTAGAACATCGGTATCGTTTACAAACTGCATGGCAAGACGCACAACAACAATTGTTAATATCCAAACAAAACCGAAAAATTCGTCACGACAAGCAAAGTCGCCCTGTAACTTATCAACAAGGTGATAAAGTCTTATTACTAAATAATAATTCTGTAAATAAACAGGAACCTTTGTTTAAGGGTCCCTACACAGTTGTACAAGACAGGGCACCAAACATTGTTATTAAATTAGAAAATAAGTTATTAGAAGTTCATAAGAATAGGGTTAAACCATATTATACATAACCACTTAAGTTTATATACATTTATATTATGATTAGACTTTGTCTATTAGGTTTAGGATGAAAAGAAAAAAAAAGGTAAGAACCACCCCAGTGGGTTTTTTTTTTCTTTCTTTCCCAAGGGAGATGTAGTGGAACCATTAGGGTCATTATTTTATATTTCCGTAATTTTATATTAAAACATTATTGGCTTTAAAATACAAGTTAATAACTTTATAATTGCTGACTTTTATTAACAAATAATTCAATGAACCCTAGGTGCGCCACGTCATTTCCCTGAGGTAGCATATTTTCATATGCACCTTATAATTAGTAATCAATTTGTTAGTTAGTAAGATATTAGATATAATTCGAATAAGACAGTATTTAGGGCTGTACCTATACTTGTACTTTATTCTCTAATATATATAGTTATGGGAAATATATTGTCTAATTTCTAACCAGAAACCTTTTAACATCATAAAACTGTCAATTTTAAATTTTGTGGGTTATGGTAAATTAACCTTAAAATTGAAACTTGACAGTTGGCAGCCCTGAGAATAAGGTTTAAAATGGTTATTCTTAGCACTTTTAGGCTTACCAGTGCACATACGTAGATTTAATTAATTTAGGCGGCCAAAAATATTTTTTCGTTCAGACATGTTCGAAATAGGGTTTTAATAGAGTTTAAAATATAAAAAAATATTCCTTTTAAAATTCAATATTATTTAATAAAACTATGAAAAAAAAGAAATTCTAATTTTGTTATTGAAATAGCAGCAATATACTTATCTAATTACATTGTATCTTCTATTATAAGTGTACATACATCATTTAATAATTACAATTGAATCGGTGAGATTAGGAACAGTACAAGTCCATTCTTTGTGTATTATTTTTAAATTTTCCTTAAAAATCTTTGATTTACGTTTTTGTGGTAATCTGCGAGATTCCGCGGCTAATTTTTCTGTAATAATATGTTAAGACCATGTCAAATTTATTAAAACACAAAAAATATTAGGGACGAACCCTGAAGTATGCTAAAAATGTTTAGAAATCTTCGATTTGCCAAAATTTTGCATGAAAAACCTGTTGTATTTAAATGATTAAAAAATGTTTGAATCTATATTCAAATAGGAAGTATTATATCACAATTTATAGATACATACCTGAATTATTGGAATCAATCAGTTTTACTTTGATAATTGACTCAGAGAGAAAAATATTTACTTTGCAAGAGACGTTACGCTAGGAGCGCTGCGCTGAAAACATACGTGAAAGCTGGTGACAGCGATTATCAAACTTTAACTACCTGCGAGTCAGAGCGCTGCAACGCATAGAAAGGGTAGGGTACTGTTCCTAAAAGTGTTTGCTACCTGTGGTAGTCAATGTGTAATTGCTAGATTTATTTTGATTTTTTTACTTTTGGCCGCCTAAATTAATTAAATCTACGTATGTGCAGCGCCTCTGTAAGAAACGCAACGTTTAAAACGATTATTAATCTGTATTAGGGCCACCAATTTTCCCTTAAAAAAAGAATGTCTCAAGATAAAACTAACCTAAAAACTAAAACGCTGACAGTGACAATGACAACCATATAATTAAGGTCATTTTACACTACGATTTTATATAGAATTTCTAATATTAAGCTGCACATTATAGTTCTCCCACCTCTAATCACGCTTGTGATTGGCTACTTTATTTTATTAATAACTTATTAATGGCGTATCTGATCGAAAAACGACAAAGAAAAATTCATAACTTTTCCATACAGGTAATTTTTTGTAAAGTAAAGTTTACTGAACAACCTCATGTAGATATCTTAATTTTACCAATGTCTTTAAAACGTTATAACTTTTAATTTTTATTTTTTTATTCAAATAGAAATTTTTATATATTTAGAATAATGTGTAATTTAAACTTATTTAAAAAAAAATACATTTTTTTGGTAGATATAGTTTATTTAATGTTTGCGTAAATTTTGGCCAATTTTACTGTTTTAAAAACATTCTACTTTGGGGTGTCATAAAATCAAAACATAATTATTTAAAAATAATTCTTTACCAAAATCTATTGCTTTAAGATGTTTTTAACAAATTATCGTCATAAAAATACCCATAATTGTATTATTTTTAAAATTATCTCGATTGGACTGAATTATTTTTAGAGTAGATTATTGACGGAATATACTTTATTGTGAATTATACCTATTAGCGGTTTTCTATCTGAAAAAGAACCGTATCGTAAATAGTGAAAATATTTCAAGACGACGATATCTGCTATTATTAAAAATTTACACTTTTTTCCAAAAAATCCAACTGAAAAGATTTAATTTTAGTAATTATTTACTTTTAATCTTTGATTTTGCAAATTCAATGTAATTTTTTTATTACAAATTTTACATTTTTTTCCAAAAAATCCATATTCAATGTAATTTTTTTATTACAAAATTTACTTCTAAAGATTTTATTTATAATAATTATTTACTTTATGATTTTACAAATTCGATGTAATTTTTTTATTAAAAATTTTACCTTTTTCAAATAAATACAACTCAATATATTTCATTTTAGTAATTATCTATTGCTTTAAGATGTTTTTAACAAATGATCGTCATAAAAATACCTATAATTGTATTCTTTTTAAAAATATTGTTATGATCTCGAAATTAGACTGAATTATTTTTAGAGCAGATTATTGACAGAGTAAATTATTTTAGAGGTTTTCTATCTGAAAAAAAAACCGTACCGTAAATGTTGAAAATATTTCAGGACGACGATAGAGCTGCTGGACACTGAACCGGAGGACCAGAAGAAGGTGGAGGACTCGAAAAAGTGGAGTTCTTACAAAGAGTGTTACGCGGAGTGCGGCGGCGGCGGCAACAACGTCGGCAACGCTGCCGACGGCGGCGGCGGCGGCTCGGAATCGAAGCCGCGATGCCCGGTGTACTTGAGCCGCAACCTGCGGCGCTACAAGAAGCAGCAGCGCGTCAACAACTGCGCGACGGCCAAGGAGAAGCGCTACGCGAGGAAGAAGGACCTTCTCGAGGACGACATGGGCGGCGGCGGCGGCGAGGAGAGGGGGGGCGGCGGCGGCGGCGCTGCGGCCAGCGAGCTGGACATGTACGAGGAGCTGGAGCGTAAGCTGAACGAGCGCGCGCCGCCCGAGCGGAACCGCGCGGAAAATCCGGGCGGCGGCGGGTACGAGGTGGCGGACGACGCGCAGTGCAAGTTCCAGTTCGGGCAGGACTCGAAGATCATGTTCACCTTCAACAAGGACAGTTACATTTACAAAATGAGTGCCTTTAGCAGAGCCAGAAAGGTGAGTCTTTGTTTATTTATTTCTTTTCCAATTAAATAAAAAGCATTTTTTTCACTTTTCATTAAAAATTTTACTTTTACACTTTTTTCCAAAAAAATACCAATTACAATTAATTTTTAGTTTCAATTTAAAAATCTTTAATTTCCAGAATAAAAACTCTCACTTACATTTTTTTCATTTTATTTAAAGGGTACCTAATGTAAAGTCAATTGTTTGACATTCCATTAAAAATCTCTAAAGATTTCATTTTATTAATTATTTATTTTTTACTCTTTGATTTCACAAATTGAATGTTATTTTTTAATTAAAAATTTTACTTTTACACCTTTTCCAAATAATCCAATTTTCAGAAAAATTGACTTGTATTTTTTTCATTTTATTCAAAGGATAATGTAAAAAAATGCAAAAGTCAATTTTTTGATATTTTATTAAAAATTTCAAAAAATTTTATTTTAGTAATTATTAACTTTTTACTCTTTGATTTTACAAATTCAATGTAATTTTTTTGATAAAATTTTCACTTTTACAATTTTTTCCAAAAAAATCCAACTTGCAATTAATTTTCAGTTTCGATGTTAAATTTCAGAATAAAAACTGTTACTTGGGGTTTTAAAATTTCCGGAAATTGGGAAGTTTTCAGAAAAATTTACTTTTGCATTTTTTTCATTTTATTCAAAGGGTAATGCAAAAAAATGCATAGGTCAATTTTTTGACATTTTATTAAAAATCTCAAAAGATTTCATTTTAGTAATTATTTATTTTTGATTTTACAAATTCAATGTAATTTTTTTAATAAAAATGTTATTTTTTTACTTTTTAAATACAACTTAAGTTAATTTTCAGTTTTGATGTAAAAATCTTTAAATTCCAGAATAAAAACTGTTAATTAAGGAGATTCAGGCTAGTGAAAAAATTGAGAAATTTTCAGAAAAATTGACGTTTACATTTTTTTCAAAGGGTAATGCAAAAAAATGACTGTCAAATTTATTTTTTATTTAGTGTTTTACAAATTCAGTGTAATTTTTTTATTAAAAAATTTTACTTTGACACTTTTTTCTAAAAAATCCAACTTGCTAATAATGTTTAGTTTTGGTGTAAAAATCGTGAATTTCCAGAATAAAAACTGTTACTTGGGGTTTTAAAATTTCCGGAAATTAGGATATTTTCAGAAAAATTGACTTTTTTTTCATTTTATTCAAAAGATAATGCAAAAAAAAATCCAAAAGACGATTTTTCTAAAAATTTCCCAATTTTTTCGTTTAAAATCACAAGTTATTAAGTATTAAAGCAGCCTGAAGCTCCTTGATCGAATTTCCCCGTGAATGTTAGTTTGTAGTGTAGCTATAAACAATACCATTCATATAAAAACAACTGAACGTTGTTTTGGTTTGTTCCAGTCTCATCCGACGGTGACGAAGCTGAAAGCTTCGCGATTCCGCGCGTTCCTCAAAGAGTGGGCCGTCGAGAACGTAAGTGACGCGCAGTCTCGCGACTGCGCGGAATGGTTCATGGGCCGCGGCGACGGCTTCGTGCCCAACAGGACGCGCCTCCACTGCGACAACGACTGCGCGCGCGCCCCCTACGTCCCCTACAACCGCTACCGCGTCGAGCGCCTCCCCACTCTCCCCTCGGAGGCGCTGCCTTTGCCCCCGTGAGCCCCCCACCCCTCCCGTTGACTTGATCTTTTCACGGCGCACAATTTTATTATCCCCCCTTCAATCCTCAAAACGCATATATTTATTGTCGAACAATTGCAACCTTCGAAGTGATATGAACATTTTTTTATTTACGTAATTTAAGGTCAAACTCGTTTTGTACGGACGTTTCAAGTACTTTTGTACGGTTCTTCTAATCAAAAGTTTATGTTGTGGTCAGTGCAATAGTTTGAGCTGACGAGAAAGATTATATTTTAATTCTGTTACGTTGTTTATTACCCCTCTGCGATGGAGGTGCCGGGGATTCCCCGACTTGGAGTTACAAGCGCCAGCGCGCTAAATTATTTATTTATTTAAACTTTGTGTGTGTGTCCGGAAATCGGCCGAGGAATCCTTTCCGCCTCGAATCGCCATCAAAATGCAGTTTGTTTATTGATAGTACAAACCATTAGAATACGTTTTGTATTTTTCGCTTTAATTAACGAAGTTATCAATGCCTTTGTTTTCTAACGATTTTTATTTATAATTTTTTTAATTCTTGTGTTGACATATCATTTATGTGTGGAATCATTAATTAATTACAACGCGGCGACAAAACAATGAAGTAAATTTTAGGGTTTTTAACATTCGAAAATGAATAAATAAATAAATAGCTGTGCTTCCAGGTTTTGTAGGAAAAGTTGCGAACTCAGGAGGCAGTCTAAATTACCTACGCTAGATAAAAAAAGTACAAAATATATTTTTATAATGTATAATGTGTCGTAAAGGTATGTCAGCATTTCTACATCGCCATCCATGTACATAAATAAGGAACTACTAGCAATAATGGGAAAATAACCAATGCCACTCAAATCAAGCACACCCGGTATAAAACATTCCATTTTATACAAAAGAAACAATGATTTTATATATCAAACAAAAAAATAATTTTAAGCGTCGACGAGTTTTTGGTTATTTTCGCATTTTATACGAACCTCACTTTTGATTACTGTAAAAATGTCTGTATAGAAATGGTTGAAAGTGAGAGAAATGATTGTACACATTGAAATTTTAAATAAAACTGTACACAGTACATTTAAATTTATAAAAAAGTTCTTATACATCTTGTTTTATTTCTTTCCCAACCCAAAAAAGTAATTGGTAACAATTCTAATATTATAAATGAGAAAGTGTTTTGCGATTTTTAGATTTATCGCAGAAATGAGTCGTTTTTTGAAAAATATAAATTTTATAACAACGGTAAGTATTTCAGTACATTTTTTTCAATTTTATTGTAAAAATGGTTTTAAAACGCCCTAAAACGACTTTTTAAATACACATTGACAAGTTGTGGGTTTATGACGCTTTAGTCACGGGCTGAAGTTAATTTTAAGTTAGTTGACAGTTGTCAAATGTCATACAATCGTTAAAATAAATTGCCTTTCTTGTAAAAATTATTTTAAAATCTCAATACAAAAGTATTAAAAAGTTTCTCAACGCCAATATTTGAAAAGTTTATATGAACATTATACTGTCCTTTTAATTTCGCTGGCAGTAAACTATAACTTAAATTCGGGCACGGACTCCACTGTAAAGTGCTCATAAAACATTTTCTCTACTTTCACTGAAAAACTCAATTTTCAAGAAATACATTTCGATTTATAACCTTTATAATCTGTGTTTATAAAAATTTGACATTTGACGGTGACACACAGATTCCCCTATTTTAAGATAATAATAAGTATTTTTCGTAAAAAAAGTATAGTATGCACCCCGTTTATAAACTTTTCTATACACTCATTAATTTAAGCACTCGCTCGCAATTCGTGTATAAAATGGCGTTTATCAAACTTAAGTCAATTGATACATAATATACTATTTTCTCATTATTATTACTCAAAAATGCATATTTTTGATAATATATCGACTATTTTTTAAAATATAATTATTTTTTTTATACGAATTCATTAATGAATTCGTAAACATATTTTGTCGTTTAAAATGCAGTTGTAGGCGTTTTTAGGGAACTCAAATATAAAAATGTTCGATTTTAAGGTTATGATTATTTTTTGTTAGATTGTTCAACTATATTTTTCTTTTTATGTTCTATATATAATTCTTTTAAAAGAGTTTTCAAGTTGTACCAATTTTATTGTAATATAATAATTATTGTATGCACTACATCATATAAATATTTTGTATTAACAATATTAATAAAAAATTAAGAATTGATTTATTTTTTCTTCCTAAAGTGGTAAAATATTTTTCTAGCAGTTACGACCCTACAAATCGGGTAATGTCAAAATTTTCACCCCACTGTCTAAAATTAAAACAGTGTGCTCAAACTGGGCGGTCCTAGCGTCATCAACTGTCACCGCCGTCCAATCGTCTTCGAGTATTTCGATCATGTGACCGCCTTGCGTCAGAATCGGCTCTATCGTGAACGTCATTCCTGGTTCCATCCTACCCGGATAGTTGTTCCCTAAACAACAAATAAAATTACCATTTTCAACGCAAAGCTTGTTAACACTCAACTCATGTGGTAAATATCAGGCGGCCCGTGAAAATATCTCCCTATTCCGTGCCCTATAAAAGCCGGTATTACATTGAAGCCCAATTGTGAAGCCCTTTGTTGAATTTGGGCTCCTATTTGCCTGAAATACGCCCCAGGTTTACAAATTTCAATTCCCTCGTGGAGACAAATTTCAGTGGCTTCTACCAGGTTTTTGCCCACGTCATCTACATCTCCAACAAGAAAACTTTTTGAACAATCTCCATGGTGACCATCAAGAAAAACCTAAAAAAATGCTTAAAAGTTCATTTTTTTTATCTGGACTGCGGCAACGTTGCAAATTTAGGGTTTTGGTTGGTAAATACAGCTGTCAAGTTGGTCGCATTGATTAAAACAAACTAAGCTAGTTCAGAGATATGGAGGTACCTCCATATCTCTGAGCTAGTTATAAATCTAATTGTGGTTATGTATAAATTATTGTAGGTTAAATTGTGCAGTTGTCAAGTTGAGTTGTCGAAATTCGTAGATAAAAATGCAATTAATTTGGCTTTGGTGGTGCTTGGATAAGTAAAAGCATATAAAAAAAAGTAGTTAAATATAGGTTGCTTTACGGCCCAGAAGAGAAAGTATTCCTAGCGGATAATCTTCACTTTGAAAAGAATTTAAATAAAAGAAATGTAAACGTAAATGTTGTCCAATGGTGAATAATGTGAAAATAATGTGTGATGTAATATTTATAAAACCAAATTCGTTACTTTTTACTCCAAAAATGTCCATAAGGCGATGTACTTTTTCTTCCATTGTGGCATTTGGCATAATTTCATCAAAATGAAGTTTTGCCCTCAAAAGGGCTTTTACATTCGAATTCGTTGCTATTATTTTTGGCATAATTATCTTTTTATTTATAATTGACAATAAATTATCAATAATAAATATTATTGTCAATTTGACAGTGTCAAAGTATTTAATTAAATTCTTTAGCAGAAGTACCATTTTTAAATACTAAAAATACCAAGTCAAACTGGAATAAGCCACCAACCCAACAAAAAAAAACCTGAGTCTAGATAAAAAAAATGTAAATGTATATTGTTTTTTCTTACTGTTATATCAACATTTATTATATCACCATTCAACAATTTTCTATCATCTGGGATTCCATGACAAGCCACATTATTTATCGATGTACACACAGATTTTGGAAAATTTCTGTAATTATATGGGGAAGGATATGCTCCATTTTCTATAGTAAGGCTATGCACCAACTTGTCTATTTCATCAGTGGTTTTCCCCGGCTTAAAATGACAAATTAGTGACAAAAAATCACTTTTTCATTCTTACTTCTAAAAACTCGCCAACTTTTTTCAAAATATTGGCAGCCAGCACACAAGATTTCCGCATTTTCAAAATCTCCTCGCCATTTTTTATCTCGGCATGCTCCACAACCTCTGCAGGCTCCCCCGTAGCGAAATAGCTCGGTTTTACAATACCATCCGGTATTTTTCTCATCTCCGAAACATTCCCGGGCCGTACAATTGCGTATCTCCCGAAATCCTTCCTACGAACAAAATACGTGTGTGGAGTACTTTAGTTTACATCATAACCTCATTTCTGTAGGATTGTAAATAAAATGGTTGCTTACTTTTTTTTGCTCCAGAAGTTTCGTTTTACGAATGTTGTTAGCAAACTACGAGACGCCATTGTGTTTAAATTTATTTTTTGGGCTGAATTTAAGAGAAATACATTTGTAAAATTGTGTAACCCCTTGCGAGTGAATGCGAGTAAAGTCCACCACACATCTGCGTGATTTTTGGCGAAATTTTTATTTGTTAACATATTTATGTTAAAATGCATCATTTTAATGCTTGATTAATTATTATTTAGTGAGTTTTTAACTGAATTTTTCTTAAAATAATGGTGGATTATTTCATTAAGCATTTAGACATAAAAATCGGGGTTGCTTTGGATCTAAACGTCAATAATAATCGGGCTGTCAAAAAGTCCAATCGGACGTCGATAAAAAGCGATTTGCACGCTTTTCATCGCCGTATCGATTAAGAAGTCGTTAAAACGGTTAAAATAACAGGTTGTATTGCATTTTCGAAGCGCACATACAATATACAAACAACGCGTTGCATTTCTGGTAGGCTCGGGGAAAAATAAACGATCGAGGAGGCGCCTGTCGGCCAGACGGATTCTGTCAGTTTTCGGTCACGTGACCGTGTCAAGGCGGCGACTAGATTATTTTGTTGTGATATAAAGTAAACGGGAAAAGCTGCGTTTGTGGAAAATCCTCGGGTTCAAAGTGTAGCAGACGGATAATTTGAGTGTGTAAACACAAAACAATCATCCGTAATTGACGTGCGAAATGTCTAGGTGACTATTTATGATAGATAAGTGTTGTGTCAATGGGAAAAACTGTTTAATCGTGCATTATTTTGTAGTTAACGCATAAAACTCGACGATAATGATTATACTAAACGTTTAGTTTGGCGATAGCGATTGTTTTTAACATCTTTACACCACAAGAGTAAACTTAATCAATACCAATACCAAAAAAAATGGCTCTAAAGAACTGAAATATTTTACACAAACAAATAACAAAATGAACAACCCCATCATAGCCTTAGGCCTATTATTGTTAATAATTAACAAGGTATCATGCAAAGAAACCATTAAATGTGTAAATTCCATGAACTACAATGCTCATTTTTCTGAGGATGTTACTTCGGATGACAGTGGTAACGAAGACAGCCCCTTTATAGAATGTGACAGCTATTGCTACACATTCTGGACTGAAGATGCCACAAACGGCACTGTTATTATGAGACAAGGTAAGATATTGTTCAAAGTTTGACAGGTGCTGTCAAAGTGACAAATTCAACTGTTTTACCAATGCACGGCACTTTTAATGATATTTTAGAAATTATTAGTGCTAAAAATAGAATATGAATGTAGCCGCAGACCACATGGCCCTTTTGGTGTGTGACACATGTTAGCACAAAAAATTAAGTGATGCACTTGAGCTTATAGCAAATTAAATTTCTGTTTTGTTGTGAATTAAATTAAATAAAATAAATATAGTCTTGAAGTGATTTTTATCAGTTTTTTTTTAATTGCTCAAGACTTTTTTGAGGAATGCAGTTTCTGGCAAGTGTAAATGATATTTTTTTAATTTTTATTTATTTTGTTATTTTATATTTATGATTTTTTTGAACATCTACAATGTTATTTATAAAAGTCTGTTTTCAATACACATACAGGATTATGTTTTAGGAGGAATGTTAATTTACTTTTGTAAAATAATAATAGATGTCTCTGAAGTTGACAGTACTTAATTGATGGTTGTTTACTAGCTTATTTAAGGTGTTATTGGTTTTGTTTTAACAGTTATAACAGGCAGTGTTGCCATCTCTACCGATTTTTCGGTAGATCTACCGATTTTGCAGTCCATCTACCGATCTACCGAAAATACCTTATCTTCTACCGATTTTTATTATTAAGTCAAATAGTCTTTGCCTACCTTTTCTTTTTGTTATTTTTTTTTGCGACTTAATAAATAAGTTAATACAAGGTTGATGGTGTTATACTTTACTTAACTTTTTTTAAATAAATTAAAAATCATTATTTTATGAATATTAAAAATAATTAATTTTAACATTATTATTTAATTAGAGATATTTGAATGAATATGTAATAATCACAATCCACACAACAAACCCTGTTTTATCTTGATTCGCGCATACCAAAAATCACTGCAACACTGCACAGAATCTAACGGCGGCCATTTTTATGTTTAAACAGATTAAAAATCGTTTTAAACGTTGTGCTTCTTACAGATGCACTTGTAAGCCTCAAATGGGGTATTTAAGTGCTAAGAACAACCATTTTAAACCTTATTCCATCAGGGCTGTCATCAAACTATCAAATTTAAATTTGTGGGTTATGGTAAATTAACCTTAAAATTGAAATTTGACAGTTTAATGACAGCCCTGAGAATGAGGTTTATTTTTCGAAGTGTACGTCAAAGTATTATCTTTGGTGTACGTTAGAGTGCCTGCAATTTATTTTTTACGGGCACGCTAGTGACGTAATAGATAAAAAACGTCATCACTGCCGTGCCGCTTAACTTAAAATTGGCGGCACGACAATCACAGAACATAATATAATAATAAATTGTAATAATATAATAATAAATTGTACCTGTATTACCAGATTTTATTCGTGAAAATTTTGTAATCGAACTTACAAAAATAGGAAGTTAATAAAAAAATATGGTTCTGTCACTTTATTGTAAGTTTAATTTTATATTTAGATTTTTTCAGGGCAAATAAACAAATTTTTAATGATTAAGATGAGAAAGTTGTATTTTTTAGTTGCTTGAACCAAAAATAATATTGTCGTAGTAAGACAACTAGCGGAGAATTTTTATATTAACAAAAAAGTTACAACCAAAAACGCTACTGTTTTATCATAGAAATTCCGCGGATTTATGGTTTTGTGGCTTACACTTTTAAAAAATCAGTAGCGCACAGGTCTACCAAAATTTTATTTTTAAATATCCAATTGGGTTTCCTTAATTGAATTTAAATTCAATTCTATTGCTAAAAACCTGAAACTTTTTATTAAATTCGGCCCAAAAGTTTTTGAAATTTTTGAAAAAATCAATATTTAAAAAAAAATTACCATCCTGTATTTTGAAAACGAGGCCTTAAAACATAGACGTTCATATTAAATTGTCATCTTATTTTTGCGAGTTCTATTGACTAATGAATTTTCCCGATTAAAATTTTAGGCTCCATTTATATACAGGGTGGTCCAAAAGGAACCTTTAATAAATTGAGAATCAATAAAAAACTTACATCGAAAATCAACAGCCTAGATTTGACCCGACGAAAACAATCTAAAAAAAATAGAAAAGAGTGAGGGCCCTCCTCCTTTATCCGGGCTTGGGACCGGCAGGTTAAAAATACCTGGCGGAGTTACCCTCCACCCTCCTTATTATATTATATACCTAAAATTTCCTAAAACAGATAAAGTATTTAAATAAACAAAAACACGCAAAAAACTAATTTACTGGTTGTATACATACTCGCATATAAGATTCACTCGCACCCTGAAGTTCCAAGAAGTCCAAGATGTCCACGTCAGGTCCAATCGAAGGGATTAGGATAATGGGAAGGGTAGAAAAGGAAAACGACAGATAATTAAGTTACAAATAGATTAGCGCCGGTGCGCAACAACATGCTCCACGTTAAAAACGGGTTGGCACGGATTACCGATGTTCCGAGACAAAATCCAGAAAGTACTTTCAAGATCCATCTACCATTTTAATTTAATTAAACAACCTGAAGATTGTGAAATTGAACTAAAACGGGTCTAAATGGAAGGAATAAAAAGGAGGGTTTTATAGGAAACTCCTGGGCGCCTGGTTCCATAGGATAATCACTATCTAAAACAGACTAAAACGACGAAAAGTATTTAAAAAATATGTTCACCTACCCATAAGCGAACAAAGAATTGGTTTCATCTCCAACTTGAAATTTGACCTAACGAAAAGAATTTAAACAAAATTTTGACCTATGATCCCTACAAAAACGAAGTAAAAGAACTGATCTTTAAAAAAAGAATAACTTCCATATCCAACTTAAAGAATCTAATAACAATTTGACTTACGACCCCTAACAACGAAAAAGAACTTAACTTAACTTAAAAAAATTTTAATTTACGACCCCTAAGAAAAAAAAAGAACTGATCTTTAAAAAGGAATAAGTTCCATATCCAAAAAAAACTAATGACAATTTGACTTACGACCCCTAACAAAAACAAACTAAAAGAACTTTTTTTTAAATAAAGAATTCATCTTCAACTCAAACAAGATTTGCGCTGACAAAAAAAATATAAAAAAATGTTGATTTACGACCCCTAAGAAAAAAAAAGAACTGATCTTTAAAAAAGAATAAGTTCCATATTTAACTAAAAAATACTAATGACAATTTGACTTACGACCCCTAACAAAAACGAACTAAAAGAACTTATCTCCAACTTAAACAAGATTTGCCCTAACAAAAAGAATCTTAAAAAGTTTTGACTTAGGACCCATAACAAAAAAAAAATAACTTATGTTTAAAAAAGAATAAGTTCCATACCCAACTTAAAAAAACTAATGACAATTTGACTTACGACCCCTAACAAAAACAAACTAAAAGAACTTTTTTTTAAATAAAGAATTCATCTTCAACTCAAACAAGATTTGCGCTGACAAAAAAAATATAAAAAAATGTTGATTTACGACCCCTAAGAAAAAAAAAGAACTGATCTTTAAAAAAGAATAAGTTCCATATTTAACTAAAAAATACTAATGACAATTTGACTTACGACCCCTAACAAAAACGAACTAAAAGAACTTATCTCCAACTTAAACAAGATTTGCCCTAACAAAAAGAATCTTAAAAAGTTTTGACTTAGGACCCATAACAAAAAAAATAACTTATGTTTAAAAAAGAATAAGTTCCATACCCAACTTAAAAAAACTAATGACAATTTGACTTACGACCCCTAACAAAAACAAACTAAAAGAACTTTTTTTAAATAAAGAATTCATCTCCAACTTAAACGAGATTTGCCCTAACAAAAAGAATCTAAAAAAGGTTTGACTTAGGACCCCTAACAAAAAAAACTAATCTTTAAAAAAGAATAATTTCCATATCCAACTTAAAAAAACTAATGACAATTTGACTTACGACCCCTAACAAAAACAAACTAAAAGAACTTATCTTTAAATAAAGAATTAGTTCCCTCTCCAACTTAAACAAGATTTGCCCTAACAAAAAGAATCTAAAAAAGTTTTGACTTACGACCCCTAACAAAAAAAAAAGAACTGATCTTTAAAAAAGAATACGTTTCATATATATCCAACTTAAAAAAACTAATGACAATTTGACTTACGACCCCTAACAAAAACGAACTAAAAGAAAGAAAAGAAGTTCCATCTCCAACTTAAACAAGATTTGCCCTAACAAAAAGAATCCAAAAAAAATTTTTGATTTACGACCCCTAAGAAAAAAAAAGAACCTGATCTTTAAAAAAGAATGAGTTCCATATTTAACTTAAAAAAACTAATGACAATTTGACTTACGACCCCTAACAAAAACAAACTAAAAGAACTTATCTTTAAATAAAGAATTAGTTCCATCTCCAACTTAAACAAGATTTGCGCTGACAAAAAGAAGCTGATCTTTATTAAAAAATAAGTTCCATATCCAATTTAAAAAAACTAATGACAATTTGACTTACGACTCCTAACAAAACAAATTAAAAGAACTTATCTTTAAATAAAGAATTAGTTTCATCTCCAACTTAAACAAGATTTGCCCTAACAAAAAGAATCTAAAAAAGTTTTGATTTACGACCCCTAAGAAAAAAAAAAAGAACCTGATCTTTAAAAAAGAATAGGTTCCATATTTAACTTAAAAAAAACTAATGAAAATTTGACTTACGACCCCTAACAAAAACGAACTAAAAGAAAGAAATGAAGTTCCATCTTCAACTTAAATCCACTTTAAACAACGTTCCATATTCAATTTAAAAAACGAATGGCAATTTGACTTAGGACCCCTAACAAAAACGAACTAAAAGAACTTATCTTTAAATAAAGAATTAGTTCCATATCCAACTTAAACAAGATTTGCCCTAACAAAAAGAATCTAAAAAAGTTTTGATTTACGACCCCTGACAAAAAAAGAACTGATCTTTAAAAAAGATTACATTCCATATCCAAATTAAAAAAAACTAATGACAATTTGACTTACGACCCCTAACAAAAACGAACTAA